ATGTAGGATAATGAGCAAGTATTATTTAGGAAGACTTGAACTATGGACAAAACAAAAATAAAATACTTTATGGTTTCAGTGGTTTTTCACGTGAAATACTCTTTTTAAATTATCTTGTTAAGGAATATTTAAATGATTGAATAATTAATATTTCCCAATAAATGATAATTAAAACATTATGGAATAGTCACTCAGTGTATCTAATAGGCTTCATGCTCGCTATACATCATAATGGTTATATATATTCAGTAGCTTAGTAGATAATTAGTTGATGTTTGAAGCGAATGGTAGTAGATTTGGGTTTCAAACTGAATTTCAACATTGGGATATAGGTATGTACATCCAGTTGACTAGTCTTAAATAGAAAGAATCTGATCTGCTAGAAAGAAAAGTCACAATTAGATTGACTTACTTATTATGAATTTTTTCTTCAACATTACTTCCGTTTTTTTAATTCAAGATGATAATTACTTACTGTAACATTCGGTTTTGTTTTCCAGTGGAACATTTTATTCTTTATAATATACGTTATTCTTGTATTAAGTTAACATGAACTGATCTCGGCATATGATTTGTTATAACTGTGAGAATTTTTCATATATGTGATTTCAACCTAATTATTAACCAAAAATAACTCCAGCTGGGGACGCCCTGGGGGCTACTGCCGGCCTCAGGCCCATATAAAGGAGGAGGGTTGGGTATGGGGTTAGTGACCCCATCCCGTAGAAAACTATCCGAAAAAACGTTAACCAGAAAAATTATTCAAATCGTTTGAACTCTGCCCTGGGAGTTAGAAGACCTTCATTTAGAAGAGTTATGACGCCTCATGGTGAAATCCGAGTTCCTTCGGAAGTCACGAGGCTGATGCCTCTTCTAACAACCAGAGCAACCACTTATTTAGGTACATGGAACGCTTGTACAATATGGGAGACCGGAAGAGTCTTCCAAATTACTTCAGAAATGAGGAGATACAACCTAGAGTTGCTTGGGATCGGTGAAACACATTGGACGCAAGTTGGACAACAACGACTAGCTTCAGGAGAGCTTCTGTTATATTCCGGCCATGAAGAAGAAAATGCCCCGCATACATGGGAGATTTAAATGCCAAGGTTGGAATGGATAACACCGGATATGAAGACATCATGGGACGAAACCGACTGGGAGAAAGGGACGAAAATGGTGAAAGATTTGCAAACCTATGTGCCTTCAATAAACTGGTCATAGGCGACACTATGTTCCCACATAAACGCATTCACAAAACCACATGGACTTCATCGGACCACACTACACAAAACCAAATCGACCATATCTGCATCACCAAAAAGTTCGGGAGGACGATGGAGGACGTGAGAACCAAGAGAGGAGTTGATATATCATCAGATCATCACCTGCTCATCGCCAAGATGAAATTGAAACTCAAGAAGCACTGGACAATGGGGCGGACAATATCACAATAGTTTAACACGGCTTTTCTTCGGGATACTGACAAACTCAACAAATTCAAGATAGTCCTCAGCAATAAGTTCCAGGCATTTCATGAACTACTCAATGGAGAAGGAACTACTATGGAGAGCAACTGGAAAGGTATAAAAGAGACAATCACTTCAACGTGTCATGAGGTTCTGAGCCACAAGAAGCACCATCACAAGGAGTGGATCACTGTTGATACACTGGATAAGATTCAAGAAAGGAGGAACAAGAAAGCCAAGACACAAGCTGAATACACAGAATTAAACAATCAGGTGAAGAGAAGCATCAGAACTGACAAACGTAAATATGTGGAAGACTTAGCAATGACGGCGGAAAAGGCTGCAAGAGAATGAAACATGAGACAATTGTATGACACGGCAAAGAAACTCTCTGGAAATCACCGTTAACCAGAACGACCAGTGAAAAGCAAGGAAAGCAACATTGAAGAACAACAAAACATGTGAGTAGAACACTTCGAAGTACTCTTGAATCGACCAACCCCACTGGACCCACCCAATATCGAAGCAGCACCCACGGACCTCCCAATCGATGTTGGCCCACCAACAATTGAAGAGATAAGCATGGCCATCAGGCAAATCAAGAGTGGCAAAGCAGCAGGACCAGACACCATTCCAGCAGAGGCACTGAAAGCAGACGTAGCAGTAACCACAAGGATACACGACATTCTCTTCAGTAAGATTTGGGATGAGGAACAAGTACCAAGAGGCTGGAAAGAAAGACTTCTTGTCAAAATACCGAAGAAAGCGATCTCAGCAAGTGTGATAACTACAGGAGCATCACTTTTCTCTCAATACCGGGAAAAGTCTTCAACAGGATATTGTTAAACAAGATGAAGGACTGCGTAGACTCCCAACTTCGTGACCAACAGGCAGGATTCCGTAAGGATAGACCGTGTACATACCAACTCTACGAATCATTGTGGAACAATCAATTGAATGGAATTCATCACTCTACATCAACTTCATTGACTACGAAAAGGCATTTGATAGCGTGGACAGAACAACACTATGGAAACTTCTTCGACACTACGGCGTGCCTCAGAAGATAGTCAATATCATACAGATTTCCTATGATGCGAAATCGTGCATGGAGGACAGTTGACAAAGTCGTTCGAAGTGAAGACCTGTGTCAGGCAAGGTTGCTTACTCTCACCCTTCCTCTTTCTCCTGGTGATTGACTGGATTATGAAGACATCAACATCTGAAGAGAAGCACGGGATACAGTGGACATCTAGGATGCAACTAGACGATCTAGACTTCGCAGGTGATCTGGCTCTTCTATCGCAAACGCAACAACAAACACAGGAGAAGGCGACCAGTGTAGCAGCAGCCTCAGAAGCAGTAGGTCTCAATATACACAAAGGGAAAAGGAAGATTCTCCGATACAACACAGCATACACCAATCCAATCACAATTGACAGAGAAGATTTGGAAGATGTAAAAACCTTTACTTATCTGGGTAGCATCATTGATGAACACGGTGGATCTGATGCAGATGTGAGGGCGCGGATCGGCAAAGCAAGAGCAGCATATTTACAACTGAAGAACATCTGGAACTCAAAGCAACTGTCAACCAACACCAAGGTCGGAATTATCAAGACAAATGTCAAGACAGTTCTACTGTATGAGGCGGAAACCTGGAGAACTACGAAAGTCATCATCCAGAAGATACAGGTGTTTATTAACAGTTGTCTACGTAAAGTACTTCGGATTCGTTGGCCGGACACTATTAGCAACAACCTACTAAGGGAGAGAACAAACCAGATCCCAGCGGAGGAAGAAATCAGGGAGAAGCACTGGAAGTGGATAAGACACACATCGAGGAAAGCACCCAACTGTGTCACAAGTCAAGCCCTCACGTGGAATCCTCGAGGCCAAAGGAGAGGTGGAAGATCAAAGAACACATTACGCCGAAAAATGGAGATAGACACGAGAAAAATGAACAAGAATTGGATGGAACTACAAAAGAAGACTCAGGACAGAGTGGCTTGGAGAATGTTGGTTGGCATCCTATGCCCCATTAGGAGTAACAGGCCTAAGTAAGTAAGTACGTAATTATCCGAAAATGGGTGTATGAATCAATACATAAATGAGTGTATTTTTGACTACGGTCATCGTCGTCGACGTGTTTTGGGGATTAATAAATCTTCACTTATACCGGTTTTTATGTTCTTTACTTTCGCATCGTGGGAATTGCAAAGGTCCCTGTTTTCTAGTATAAGTGATAAACGTTTCCGACACAACAATCAGAGATGACCAGATATAGCAATTATCGTTCAAACCGACAAGAAATATCAGAATCACTTATGTGAGATTCCATTGAAGGTTACTATTTAACTTTATTATTATATTTATGATAGTTGAATTTTCTTTCAATTAATTCAATCACTTTTCAACAATATCACTGTCACGAATAATGAGTATCATAATCAATGAAATTCATTGTCACAGTAAAGTAATGTGAATTCGAACAAACAATAGTACATCAATAAACCAGAAAACTATAACAATATTCCATACAATTTTGTTTGTTTTTATATTCACTGAAGTTCAACTGTTACAGGTTGTTTTTTTAAATAAATTTCTTTGATTTTTACTTTTGAGAAAAACAAAGAAAGAAAGAAGAAATTTGATTATTTAGCAGCCGTTTTCGTTATTGTTGTCGGTGTCGTCGAGATGTAACACTTTCTTTCTTTATGTATATATATATATATATATATATATATATATATATATATATATATATATATATATACTACAATTTTAATGGCTTCAATATTTATAATAATAAAGGTAGTTAACAGGAATTAATTAATTCAATAAATGATATAATAAGAATAATGATAAAAACCAATTAATCATAGTAAACGTAGAATTATTAGCTAGTTTATTAGTGTATATGTAAAGAAGAATAATAATGATGAAGTAAATAATACATTTTTATTAAAAAATACAATCAGCAGTACAATAAAAAGGAGAGAAAGCAGCAAAATTAACTAGTGCTATGGAATAGTTGGATTTGACATATGTCTCCTTTTTGTTTTAAGTATATATTCACCAAAGTGATATCTACACGTAGATATCAACTATTGATGTATGTATCTGTGACCAAGAGAGAAGGAATTAAGTGTGGGATTGTATATGTATATATATACTAATGAATGTTTGTGAATTTTAATAGGTATATAAAATTGGAAGCTCTGGCGGGAGATTTAAAGGGATTGAATTGTATGAGAATTTCGATTGTTCACTCATCACTGATATATGTACCAAGCAAGAAAAAAAAGAATGGATGATTACCATATTGACTAACTAGGTGATGTACCGCATTGTTCTATAGTTAATGTATGAATTTGGTAAATTCATGTAGGCATCGAAAAAAAAATTAAAAGTGAAGAGTTTTTTTTATTTTAGAAATAAATAAATAAGCACAACCGTTGTTTAGATTTCTGTATATTTTACCCCCTTCTCCCATTAACTTTCCCATTGATTTTCTTGTTGTTTACATATCTATAGTCTTAACTCAGGTTTACGTTGTGAAATATCTGGAAGTGAAAAAAATATGAACAGTTATAATTATGAATGAAAAGTAAGCTTTCAATGCTCTATGATTATTGATACACTGATGAAGTATTCCGAATTATTAGCCATAATATAATATGTGAAGTTTACAATCTATTATCCAAACAAACCATTGGCTACTAAGTTTAATTATCATTGTATGTTGCAATTATCAATGTTTAATATTGTTTATTTTTCTGTGAGCAACTTCAGAGAAATATTATTATCTGTTTCATTTATTGATTGGTTTAGATACACTTGTAAATTAAATAGTAACGATTATTCCCATTAGTTTTTAAGGCTTGTTTTTGAGTCTGCTGTTTAGAAAAATTATTGGTGTAGGAATTCGCATCCTCTTTCATATCATGAGGCAAGCCCTAACTTGGAATCCTGAATGAAAGTGAGAAAGAGGAAAGCCAAAGAACACACTTCGCCGGGAATTGGAAGAAGAAATGAAAAGCATGAATAACAACTGGGAACAAGTGAAAAAGACTGTTCAGGACAGAATTAGATGGAGAGTGCTGCTGGGCGGCCTCTGCTCCTCCGCAGGGGGTAACGGGCGTAAGTAAGTAAAGTTTTATTACAGATGCTTATGATATCATCCACACATAACTTTTAAATTGATATATTTTCGATTAGGTCTCGGTTTAAATTTCCAACATTTACCACATTAACATCTGTTACTAATGCTCCTAAAGAATTACTGCATTGCCTATTTCTTTAATAGTTCTACCGTAAGTCCTTCGGAATGGAAATTCCCCAGATAGCCTCTTAAAAATGTTGATGAGATATTTTACTACTTAAAAAGAAAAAAGTAGGTAAAATATATAAAATCACTTTGTATCATGATTTGTTGATTGCTATTGACGATAGCACCATGTGAACACTTTCTAACATTTCCAGGTTTGTTGTTTATATGCAACTTCGAACTCTAAATCAATGATGCAGTAAAACTCAAGCGTATAAATCACACAAATTAATGTAGTTATTTTCTTGCCTATTCTTTGAAAATGGGATATATGCAAGGAAAATATAATACAAATACCATTTAAAATCTTATGGCGAGAGAGGGAGAGAGAGAGAGAAAGTGGGTCCTAAGACTGGATAAAACCAATGTATTTCATAATTAGAGATAAACCTCAATAATAATCATTGTTGTAATACTTGTAATCCTCTAGGCACTATATGTCAAGTGGGGATTAATTGTGATTGTTGTGAATATCTGGTCATAATGAGTTCTATGGTACTAAACAAAAATTATTATTGTTATCACTATATCTAAGACATATTCACATTCGAAGTTGCATCATCTAAAACACAAAAAACTATAAAACTATACCAGTGATGATATCGTCAGTTATACGATGTGGAAGTGGATGTTTAATATTCTCTGGAGATCTTTCTGAATAAGATCTTTGTGCTATTTGTCTGTTAGAATTATACTGTTGGTTTGATTCCATAGGTGTTCCAGTTAATTGACCAACACTTTCTGAACAATTTTTGGAATTGTTTTTATTAATACCACCGGATGATGAACGCTACATAGATCAAAGGATATTGAAAACATGATAACAAAATACACACCAGTTATGAATAGTTTAGCATTTATCGATCGTAAGTTAGAAAGTTCTATATTGTTTTAATGTGTTTATTTAATTATTTTAATAAAGATAGATTGTGATTGGCACAATTTCGTCTCACCTGGAACCCGTCATTTGGACGTTTCTAAATCTTAGTGTTGATGTTCCTAATAATGGCTTCATTTATCACGTAATGTATAATTAGTCGCAAGGCTTCAAATGTGTCATGGTAAGAAGTGTTAGTAAACACTAATTGTCCTGGTGTAAAGGAATCGCTTACAATGTTTACATTTTCGGTAAAGCATGGATATAACTGATTTAATATTGATGATCTCGGCTGCAAAGTACTTTCCACTGATAATTGATTTAAAGCTTCGCTTCAGCATAAAGCTATTTGGTTGACCATTGAATAGCAGGAGGATTTGGACAGGTTTTCTTAAGATGATAGGGGCGTAACAGGTGTCAGTGTACTGTCAGTACCTTATCGGTTTGTGAATTTTAATTGACACACATTCTACATCAATACTGTGTTCATTAGATTCACCGTATCATTTGACCAGATATGATCGATCCCACTGAATTAGCCTTTTATCAAACCTCGTTTTTACAGGACTGGACGATAACTACAAAATTCCAGATACTACCCTGTTCATGTAGGCTGTAGAAGCTGATTTCCCCCTATATCTGACTCCAATAAATAGTATCCCGTTAACTGAGTATTTAATGCAGTCTGAATCTCCTAGTAGAATTATGGATTTACTCGAGATTATTCAAAAGCCTGAACACCAGTTATAGAGATAGTTTATTGTTAAAGATTGGTAAAATCCGTAAACGTATAGGAAGCAAGCACACAGGGAAACCAAGAGTGTGTTTGTGTGTGAGTGTTAAAAATCTATATATATTCTTGAATGTTAATCAAGTATGGATAAATTATTGATTGTCTGTGTATTACAGCTAATGGGAGAATAGATTAAAATTGATGTGCAGATATGTGCCCAATCATATTCACACAGAAAATTACATAGTGGATTAAGCGTCTAAATTACAGTGAGCAGATAAATAATACAGTAGTTGAATGGGCTTACTACAAGGCATTCCATAGAGAGATTATTTAATTTGGGTATATTCTTTTCTACTTACAAGAATATCTAAGACAGGAAGCTGGTTATTCTTCCCGTTTCCAATGAAAGACAAAAGTAATTTTGAAGAGATTTATGTTTTCATAATAAATAATCCACATCTTCAGTTTTGTCACTTATGACTATTATTTCATTCATAAACCACATATCAAGATACATTTTGGGTTGAGTTTTTAGTCAAATTCTCAACATATAACATAAATACGTCAGCTCATTATAGTTCTGAAAATATGAAACAAACTATTGGTGTATAATAAGAAATTTTTGGGAATTGTTACAAGAATAGGTAATTAAAGATTATTCGAAGAGGTAAGTGACATAAAGTATCATGTTCATTATGTGACAAAATATTTTTAATCAAAGAATTAGCTTCGAAAGAAGGCACTGTCTATTTTTTGATATCATATCAGTGATTGGTCAGCTCGAATGAAACCTACAGAGTATGCTTGTGATTGGACTGTTTATACTGACATATATAAGTAGTATTTAGTGACACTGGGAAGTGCAATGCCAGCTAGCAGAAGATTGAATTGAAGAGACGAGAAAAAAAGAAACAGGGAGCAATTGGAATAACAATAGAATTGAAAGAATTTCGAAGAATTTTAAGGACAACTGATGAAAGATGTGAAAATAATGTACTGACTGTATAATTTTCATATTTTACTTAACCACTGTGTGATTTGTATCAAACATTAAACTTGTTTCCTCACCAAATCTTCATTCACTACATACTTACATCATTGTCAATAGGAATTAATAGTTACGTTAGCTATTTTACAAGATTATATGTAGCTGGTCGATAAATTCATAAAACTGAACGTAAATGTATAAATACACAGAATTAGTTTTCTATAGTTTAGGGAGATTTCTGTTGATTTCTCATTAAATGCTAGACAGGAATATGAACCTAGATTACTTCTATGGGTAATTCCGCAAATACGGTGGAAAATCCATTTACATCTAAGTATATATATATTGTTTATAAATAAATTGGTTTTTATATTGAAAGCATCAGAACACTGATAGGTAAACATACTCAATAAAGGTCTAGTTAACTAAGAGATAATATAAATGTGCCTACACTAGTTTTTTTATTTAGAGCATGACAAATGGGATAACTAATTGTTATTTGTATCATTTCAGAATTTTTATATTTAAATTAAAAGTTTTAGGCTAATTCTAAACTAATTTATGACTAGTTCGATGAACTAATATAAATTTGTTCTTAAAAGATATTTATGTGTGTCTTACCTGACGTATGCTTACGTTATTTTGATTGCCGATTCCCGCATGAACAGATTCTCCTGTAGAATTTGTATTATGTAATGGAATGGGATCAGGTGCAGAATTTCCACTTACAAGATATTGTCGAAGACGTTGTAACTGTTGTTCCAGTTGTCTATTATGTTCTTCAAGCATTACCATTCTAGCTTCAAGACGTCCTTTATGTTCCCATAATAATCGGGATTCTTGATGTGGTTCATTGGCTACACCACCAACCAATATTGCTTCATTCATATGTCCTTGATATTTGTATGGTGCTGATGTCGAATCTGTAGTATACTGGTCAGTAGTAGTATATCCAAGGTCAAGAGAAGAACTATTCGCCCGCCCAGGCAAATTTTGTGCTGATAAAGGTAGAATGCTTTAAATGGTGAAACAAAGTAGAAAAATATATGTTTTATTCAATGAGAGAATGAAAGATAGCAAATTCCTGTTATAAGACCAAATGAAAAGAAAGAAACTCTCAAAACAATAAACAGTGCCAACTGAAAAATGATTTTGTTTATCTGCAACTTAAAATGCGACAAATCTGTTTATTTCATAAATGATGTTGGATTGAAAAATACTAACTATGGTATTATTAAAACGTTAGTCAGTTATGCATTAAGACACTAAAATATTATCCTAAAAATAAGATAATCTGTAAGTAGTCGATTATTTTATGAAACTAGAATTAAAAGTTAGCACCACCTATTGTCTTAAGAAATAATTATATGCCGTAATCATAATGTTTTTATTCAATAAAACAAATGATTTCGGTAGTATTGTGTTCAGTGAACTTTGAAGGTTACTTGTGTAAATTTCATTGTTGTCTATGATGATTTAACAAAACTTATCATCATTTCATAAAGTTATTAAATCATTAGTGAGTTAGAACCGTACACATATAGCATGAAACTAAAAACTAGTGTACTCCAAAGTAACTGTCGGTTATCATTGAAAAAGTTGACAGCTTATTTTCAACAATAATATACACTTTTCATCAGAGATTCGGAGGTGTTACAAGAAAATATTTTAATGAAATAAGCTTGCATTAAAGTCCTTACGTATGTAAAACTGACTAATATGATTAGGTCTATGAATATTTATTTACCAGTTAATAGTACCATGTAATCTAGGTTAAACGTTCATGATAAGTGATATTAACCTTTGAACATTAACTTACCCTGAATCCAATGGACTTGATAAAAAGTGGCCACTATTAATCGATAATGTTCTACACGGTGAATTAGTTGGAGTTATAGTTCGCTGTATACTATTTACACGACCTGTTTCTGTTGACTGGAATGGTTGAGAATACAATAAAGGATTTGGATGAGGTATTCTAGCATTGACTCGTTGTTGTGAATATTGTATTCTATTCATTGTACCATACGATCCTGATATATTGGTTGGAGTTGTAGATCTTTGTCTTAAACGATCATATTCATACTGTAACGCACGATGTTCATCTTCAAGTGATCGAACAGTCTATTTTTCAAAATATATACAATTAGAAAATAGTAAAATTTAGGAAACCTGTAATATTCATCTAATGATATTTATCTAATATTCTGTGAACTATAAACGGAAAAAAACAGCATAAAAAAATTACATAGAGTAGTTTTTAGGTATAAACTGTACGCCTTCAGAGTATAACATTTAATTAAGAATCGTCTAGTTTGATACACTTTGCGCATTAGGTTACTGGTATCAGTTATTATTTCCTGGAATTATCTCACTTTTTAAACTTTAGATCAGAGAACACAATATCATCCAAATACCTCTTCTGACTTGTAAACTATAACGTTGGTGGAGCGTTCTGTTGATAAAATGCTTCTAATTATGGATCGCTTTTTTGTAAATTTACAAATCGCTTTTTTGCTATATGAACCAGCTCAAAAGATCAATGTCAGTATAGAGTAATCTAACTAAATTTCGTATTTTTTATATGATTAAATATCGACCTATTTAACAGGAAAATTTATTATTGCAATATAATTAATCAGTTACCTGTTGCATTTGTCCATAGGGCTGTTGTTGTAATTGTTGGATTGGATAGTTAGTAAGATAGGTTGGGGGACGAGAAAGTATATTTGTGCTACCGATAGGTTTCCACATTGTTTCTTGAATCTCCGGTGGAGGTTGTGATCTAGCTCTTAGTGAAAATGTACGTTGAATATGACGTGTATATATATCTGGATTAACGTCTTGACCCATAGAAGTCTGATAGGATGTTTGAGGTAAGTGACCAGTTGGGCCATATTGATTGTCAATGCGTAAAGTACCATTTAAAGCACGTGGCGTCCATCCAGAAAAAGATCCACGTAGTGCAGGATTTCCAAAACCTAATGGTGGGAAATTTACCCCTCGATCGGTTTGACGTCGGTCCAAACTAAGATGTCCACTAATAAACGGTTGTGTTTGTTCAACATCCATACCTGGAACATTCGTTGAAATACCATCTGATATGGTAGATCTTTCCATGATCATCGGACCAGTGGAACAAGACATTGATTGAAGTACTGATGTTTGTTGCAAATGAGGCTGAAGTGATAATATAGATGAAATAAATTTACGCACTTCTGTTTACAGTATTAAAATCAATTCGATACATTTCCTACTCAGACTCTTATTATTTTGATATTATTTCAGTTGATGAGTTCAGAATAGTGGTTTTGATCTGACGATTAATTGTATGCAAACTGTTGTCGGAACTCCAGGAGGATCTTTAAAACTTAGAATGTTTGGAATTCTTACATAAAGTGATTTATTTGCCATAGTTAGGCTTATAAAGAGAAAAGATTATTTTAGGGTTTTAAGGTGTACATAGCTAATCTGTTACATTCATTATTTTTATTGCTAACCATTACGAGTTATGCCAGATAAAATATCGAAATAAATTAATTGTCACACCGATTTTCATAATTTGTTCTAAGCACGTACGGAGATTCCTATAGATATTACTCCACCGACGATAGAAGAAATCAGGATGGCCATCACACACATCAACAGTCGGAAATCAGCAGGACCTAACAATATACCAACCGAAGCACTGAAGTCAGACACAGAAGTAACTAAAGACATACTCCACCTTCTATTCAAGAAGATTTGGGACGAAGAGCAAGTGCCACTGACAGACCGGAAAGAAGGATACCCCAACAACATACCAAAGAAAGATCTGCGAAAATGTGGAATCTTCAGAGGCATCACATTACTATCCGTACAAGGAAAGGTTCTCAATAAAGTGTTGCTGAACCGAATGTAAGATTCAATGAATACCCAGCTTCGAGATCAACAGACTGGATTCCGTTAGGATCCATCATTAAGAGGCCGAATTGCGACACTACAGATCATCGTTGAATAATCACTTGAGTGGAAAGCATTTGACAGCGTGAATAGGCGAACTCTGTTGAACCTTCCTCGAAACTATAGTACAACTGGGAAGATCGTCAACATCATCCGGAATTCATACGACGAACAAAAGTACAAAGTCGGGAATGGAGGACAGTTTATGGATGCATTCCAAGTTAGGACTGGAGTCAGATAAGGCTGATTACTCTCCCACTTCCTCTTTGTTCTGGTGGGTGACTGGATTATGAAGATTCCGACATGTGGGGGAAGCACTGGATAGAATGGATAGACAGGAATCAATTAGAAGACTTGGAATTGGCAGATGACCTGGCCCTTCTATCGCATACACGCGAACAAATGTGGATGAAGACAACTAGTGTAGCAGCAGCCTCTGCATCAGTAGGCCTCAACATACACAAAGGAAAGAGCAAGATCCTCAAATATAACACGGAAAACACCAACCCAGTCACACATGATGGAGAAACTCTGAGAGAGGTGGAAATGTTCACGTATCTGGACAGCATCATCGATGAATAAGGAGGATCCGACACGACCCGAAGGCGAGGATTGACAAAGAAAGGGCTGCATTTCTACACTCGACGAACATATGGAACTCAAAACAACTGTCAACCAATGTCAAAGTCACAATCTTCAATACGAAGGTGAAGACAGTTCTACTGTACGGAGCTGAAACTTCGAGAACTTCCACAAGCATCATGAAATCGGTACGATTATTTATAGACAATCGTCTACGCAAGATACTCAGTATCCGTTGGCCTGATACCATCAGCAACACCCTACTGTGGGAGAGAACATACGAACTTCCAATTGAAGAGGAAATTAGGAAAAGATGCTGGAAGTGGATAGAACATACATTCAAAAAATCATCAAACTGCATCAAGGGGCAAGCATGCTAACTTGAAATGCTGAAGGGGAAGTGAAAGGAGGAAGGTCGAGGAACACACTTCATCGAGAATTGGAAGCAGATATGGAAACGATGGATAGCAACTGTAAACAACTGGAAAGTAATGCTCAGAATAGAAATTGGTGGAGCGTGCTAGTGGGAAGCCTATGCTCCTCCATGACGGATAACAGATGTAAGTAAGTAATACAAGATTTTCAGGGATCTTAGCTGATAAGAAAAAATTCTCTACCAAAACTTTAGCGATTCTCATTGAGTGGTTTTGTTGAATCCCACAAACAGTTATTTTTAAAAATAAATTTAATTATTAATTTAAAATTTTACTTATATGATCAAGCTAATATCTTTCGTCTGTAATCCGTCGGTTTACAAATCCACCAACACTGTTATTATTAATGACATTGTTACTGAGATAAATTATTGAATTAAGGAATTATCAGCTTCAAAGATTACAACTACTTCGACTAGTATATGTATGTTAGTAGTGTAAACTATTATTTGTAGAACAATAGATTTACAGTTTTGGTTAAATTATAAAGATACATTTCTCTCAAGAAAAGAATATGATTTTCAAAAACAATATTTTTTTTACCAATTCAGGTTCGCTATATTGTCTTAATTCTTGACTATAACGTGCAATTAATTTATGTTCTTCATTATCACCATGATATTGTTGAATATTTACACGTTCACTAGTTTGCTTGTAATTACAGTCAAGGTCAGCTTTTAATCTTGAGTTGATTTGTAAAGTTTGCGGTGACGGAGTTGTTGTTGTTAATGGTGGTGGTGTTGTAAATAAGTTCGTATTGATATTTTTCTGTCTAGACATTGACGATTGAGTATCAGATGATGCACGCGGTGGCATTGAATATTGATTTGAAGGCATAGCTACATTTGATAATGGTCTACAACTTGGAATAGGATGTTGATTATTATTATCATTGTTGTTGTAATTATTACTTGTCTCGTTTAGAAAATAATGTTGAGGTGATTGTGTATTCGAGATCGAATTTCGATATGGGCATTTCTGATCATTAACAAACGGAGTGTCTAAATTTTGATATTCTGCAAAATCAGAGAATGGATCTTGACTGTAAGTTGGTGCTGGACGAGGTTTACTATTAGTGGAAAAGAAATGACAATGAAAGTTGAATTTTTTATTGATCATAATTAGATAGAAATCAGAACTTTTCCAGCTTTTTCTAAGCTTCATATTGATAATCAAGAACTTTTGAAAAAATCGATGTAGATAACTATAAAACGTATAATGATGAAAACTTCTATAGCGAGATATCAAAGCTCATAGCTATATCGAATACAAAATATGCTACAAATTATTAAATCTAGATATTAAAACAACCCGAAGATTGGTTAAAATTCTGAGAACGTTTTCTTGGTTTTACAATCAACTGTGATATTTCTTACTGAATTATTTACATTCTTTGTGATGTGTAGCGGTTTCACAACATACATCTCTGTGCAAATCTACACTTGTCTGAACGAGTAAAATGTCTGACAAGTAAATGTGTCAATTTTAATCCCATTAATTATATTTCACTTATTCTAATATGATCAGTTATTAACTATCATACATTTTTATTTTTATAGACGTGGGAATACATGTATGTTTGTTTACCTACTTATTGCATTAAATGTATGAGCTATATGTAAACCTATTCAGTAATCGACAAATTAAGTTTGGCTGTCAAGTTAAACACATATATGTAGAACAATAAATTCATTTACTTCCTTCACTGACGGTTTGTTTGATGATTAACATTTCTAAAGTATACTATGCAAGCATTTCATACTGAACGTTCTAATATCTCAATGTTATCTGGATTGGTTATAGAATAAAAGTAATCAAAGATATATACAAATTCAACGAATCAACTCTCGATGAAATGTGGGTTCAATGAGAAAGCATCCAATCATCAGTTTCCTTTCTTTTTAAATCATCATTTTATACCATATTATTACATGGTTATATGCTCTATAAAAAACCCATCCCTTTTTCTCTCTAGATCGCAATATATTAATAAAGTGACCGCTAGTGAAGATATATTAAATAAAAAACGAAGTAACATTCTAATCTCACTTTGCTGCTTCAAAGATTTATAATGAACAGAAGGTTTTGTGGAAATTTTGGCAATTTCAATTGTTGATATCATGAATCAATTGAAGCTAGACCACCGTGAAAAACCTGGAAGCACTGGACGGCCGTTTCGTCCTATTGTGGGACTTCTCAGCACTGCGTATCCATGGATCCCGCCCCACAAGATTAATTATTTTTTTCTATTTACTTGCAAAACTCAAATCATCAAACCATAATACTCATATAGAATCAGTTTGGAAGGAATCTGTTCACTTAGTATTTCTATGTCATAAAAATCATTGAACTTAATGTTGAATTAGAGAAATATGGTGAGACCTTATAAACCGACTGTTTCAAGCAAAAACTTGTAATAAACCAGTTGTATTTTTACTTTAAGTTTAATAGATGAAATTACAAAATACATTGAAACATCAGATTTTATATTAGTATTGATTATGAACCTAATCAGTTGTGTGTAGGATCAGTTCACAGCATAGAAGTTTCTTGGCTTAATGTACTAGATTGAACATGTTATAGAGTATATACTACTAATAATAATAATATTTTAATAAACATTATAATTCAGAAAATAATCATATTATGATTTAGAAACAAGAGAAAAAAACATTATTATTCAAATAAGACATACTCTTCATCAAAGCTATTCAAACTATTACGTTTACATCTTGTACGACTTGTACTGGATCGTCTAACTTTTTGACCATTTGCATTATTAATTTTACGACGTTCATTTTCGTCATTTAAACGATCTCTGGATCGAAAACGATTTCTTACAATTCGTGTAAAATCTTTAAATGAATCTGTGGATGTAGACTACAATGATGATGTTGATGAATGTTTTGTTTTTTCCAAAATCAAATGGTTAATTGATACGGAAGATAGTTAAGGGGTAAAAGAAAAAAAATGAAACAAAATCGAAGTTAACATTTTACATTGCAAAAAAAGCATTATGTTTAGTATGTGGGAAATGAAATGAGAAAAATCTTTGAAAAATTATTGTATTTTAGTATTCTTTACCAAAATCAATACAGTTTGTTATCATTCAGTGTTTCTATACACACTATAAGGTCACATCGTATTGTACACAGTACTTAGGAATTACATTATGAATGTTGAACAATCATGAAGTGTAAATAAATTAAATGAAGTGTTTGAAGATCACAGTACAGTGTATTTACTGTTGACTGATTTACAAGGAGGATGTGTACCTCTCATTGAATGTCATTCTCCTCATGATTGTAAATGATCACATGTATTATAATTGGGTAGTTTTAACTACAGTTAGCTTTCAAAGTAATTCTTTCACTCATTTTATTAATATACTGAATTAGATGAATCATTCAGTCATGGAGATAAATCACTTGTTTATACACCGGAATACACTTCTAAAGTGCATAAATGTATGGTGAATATTAAGGAGTTATACACGGATATTGAAATGGGGTTTTCTAAATCTCCTTGATTTATTGACTCAAGAAAATACTATTTATATCAGATAAATATATTCTAAAAACCTAAACTTTCTCATATTTGGAACTAAGAAATGATCATACTTATACAACTTAAATTCGTTCAGATATAATTATGACCTTCATCCAGTGTTTACATATGTAACAGTTTAAAAGCTGAAAGCTTCTGACCATCTAAATGGAAAAAAAACAAAGAAATAAAAGCCGACTCACATGACTACAATACTCTTGCATTGGATGCGTAAGCTTATGATTCCTAGATGTTCTTCCAGCAAAAAAGCATTGCTGACACATGTCAAAATTTAGACAACGTAGACAACGATATCTAAAAATTATAGAAACCAATTTAAGGATCCTAAGGATTACTGCGAATATTACTATGAATTGCACTTGAAGAAACAATACGAATATTATGATGGCTATTTGTTCACTTTTCAATATCAAATTTTTTATATATGAAATGTTCATATTAGAGTCATTACATGTGATTTAATTGATGGATTATTATTGGTATTAGTTGTTGCAATAGTAGTGTGGTGTGTGCTACTGATGTCGACAGATATAAGTAGTATGCATCATCAGTCGGAAGTGGAATACACGATGGCAGACAGTTGAGAAAATCGTAGAGAAGAGAATGAGAACAGAGAGTGATTGGTATAGAAACGAAGGAACAAAAAAGTCTGAGACAATTGATGGATATTTTACAAATGAAGTATTTACTTTATGGTCCTCACATTTTATCAAGGTATTCTGTAATGTATTTAAACACATTTGATTATCTCCATTGGTGTTCTCGTTCACAACAGTAGTAGCCCCATGTTGATTTTCTTCTAGTGGATAATATTTCATCTGATTGGCTAACCATAATTTCGATGACTTTTATTAGCACTAAATAAGTACACTTGTATAAAGTATTGAAAATCACTTGTGTTAGGAATTATATTATACAGCCTTCTGAGTTATCTACACGAAATGTGCTTAATTATATAGTCAAGTGTATATTATAGTACACCTATCAAATTATGACGATAAATATATCACGGGAAACATTTGGATTTCATCTTTGAAATCGTAATTCATGTTAGAGCTTCTTTGACGACTTAATACATTAAGTGATTCATAGTTTTTGTTAGATGTTATTAGGTGAGAGAACTTTATTATGTAAATTTTGAAGTTGTATTTACAACTCTTAATGATTCAACGTACACATATATTTGTTTCTGCTTTAAGAGGAAACAAGTCGATAGTGTCTTCACTGAACATTTATTTGAAATTGGCATTTATTTACAAGAGATCTCTCAGATTATGAGTTCACATGATTGAATATAGTATTTAAATAATCAATGGTTCTGTTTATGTGCATTGTTAGATTAGCGTACATTCTATTCTTTAAAAACAATATATATTACAATTTCATTGAGGCCGAGAATTATGAAATCAGTCATCGTTCCTGTAAGAGTTCGAAAATACTTGTAAAATTCTAGCATTAAATTCTTAACTGAATGATAGAAATTTCAACCTCACGGTAAATATGAACGAATAGTTACTAATTCTCATGAAAAGTAATATCTTAAACACTAAATTCAAAATTAACAGTTAACTCCCTTTCTTATTCTATAGTGTCAATCATTAAATCACTGAACGAAGTGCCTATATTATAATGAAGACAATTTTACCATATAGATTTTTTTATACTAATACGCAATCAGTCAGTCAGTCAGTCAGCTACAACATAAGACCAGGCACATAAATGCATCGGTCCAAGTTGCCATACCTCATTAACACAAGATGAACACCGGATTCATAAAAGTAGTTAATTCAGAGGTGGTAATATATAAAAGAAAGATTGCAATAAGGATATAGTACATGAAGAAAGAATTAGTTCGTAGGAAGAAAGATATGAAGCGATTTTAGTCTCTTAGTTTAAGGGAAGACGGAGTGTATACACCGATGCCACTGTGATCGGTTCTGAGCCATATCACCAAGAGTCTTTAACCATTGGTTACGAAAGTCACGCGGACCCCAACCAAGTAGTCTGCATCTACCAACATGGCTAAGACTAGAGGTTAGTAACTTCAGGCACTGATGCCACGTTTTGGTTTGGCCGCCCCTAACCTTCTTCCAACCATCTCCAACACCGGTTAGCATTGCACGTCGTTGTAATCGGTGTTCAGGCATACGCAATAAACATTATTATCCATTCTTATTTCAGTTAAATTAAGAAAAAAGTTTGAGAACTATACAGATAATAAGTATGTGTCGAAAAACATTTTCAGGTGTACGTTTAATAATTTTTAAAAGATTTGGTTTGTTAAATTATATAAAACTTCAGTCAACGTTTGTAAGCATCTCAATAAAATCCGAGAGCCATATAGTTAACAGTTAATTTTCAAAATACCAGTCCATCGTCTCAAATTTCACTGTTCCTTTGTAAACATCAATCCATTGTCTCAGATTTCGTTGTTCATAAATTTTCATAACAATTGCCTTCCGTTCCCGTTCTTTCCTTATCGATCTTGTGCTGAAATATATTCTATTTCTGATCACCGTTATGTACTATTTATAAGAATATAAGTAACCCACACTACAGTAACAAGCTTCCACTTGACCACTGAAAGTTAATCAGTTATTTGATACATAGCACTTTTAAAAAGCTTTGTTTATGAATTCCGACTAACACAGAAGAAACATTTCGAAATTACGATGAATTCTAACGACTGAAACACATTTAAAGTAACCCTAATGTTTAACTATGAAATTTATTCATTCGTTTTATGTTATATTATTGGTGGAAAAAAATTGATAATTATCTTATTTAAAACTCAGATAAATTAACAGTTTTGAAGTACATTTCTGTGTCATGTTTCAAATATATAAAACAAGATACGTATACAGAAAGAAACTTTCTCGACCAACTAAATTTTTGTATAAATTTATAATCATTTCTGAAAATGAAATATTTTAATGGAAAAGACGTTTTTTGCGGTAAGCAATTATAAACAGCCTAAGTTACTCGATACTCGATTGTGTAAGCCTGAACTCAAAGATCAATCAAGAATCAGATACAGGCAAAAACAAGAATTTGTTAACGTACTACGCAAAGAAGTCAACAAGTAGAGTTAAAATGTAACATAATTTGAATCAAAGCCGAACGACGTTTACATATCCGGAAGTCTTATATTTAGTATAACCTTGTATTCCTGTCTTCATTCATTGATCAATTAAAGTTGACTTTCACATGATAAACTAGATTTCTTTATATGTGGTGCAGAAATAACATCTAATAAATCAAGGTATCACATTGTTTGTTTCTAATAAAGATTAGCTACTAACACAATCAAAACACAAGGATCACAATCTAATTATGATAGGATTTGACAATAAAGTTTAGCTCACACCAGAACTCTACCTTGGGAGTCTTTTATTTTCTGACGATTAAAGACACTTTAGTTTGATTGATTTGGGAGTGTTTTAATTTGCTATTTTCAAGGAAATTATGAATATATTTACACATAAAAGTGGTTTACCAAATCAATCTTCTAAATTTGAAATTTGACTTAACACTTCGGATTAATTGGTGTCATATTAATAGTGATTAAAGCAGATTATCTACGTTTATTGTGGAAATTAGTTGATCAAAACATAACAGTATAATAGTTTATATAGAAAATTATTAAATTAATAATTCCCACAGAAAAAAAGTTTTGTTATAATACTCAAAAATACACACATACCGAAGTCCAATAAGAGGTTGATTATGGCATACACTGCAACGTATGTGATGAATTACTTGTTCAGATAAAGCAAGACGATGTAATAATGGCAACCACGTCAACATTTGTGGATTTAAACGAAGCCATGTCAAGAAATGAACAATCCTTGCTGTAGGTTTAGAATGATATGTTAAAGTTCCATCTATTTTATCCGAATGCTTTGAAATTTCAAGGACCTGAAATAGTAGAAATTGGGCAAAATATGAAGAAGTTTTGAACAAAGTTTGTAGTTTACAGAGAATCTACATTTATACTTAATTGTACTTGCTTATAAAATACAGCTTATTACTAATCATTATTTGTTTGCCTACTGTAGTACATCATTGTATCTAAATAGATTACCCGATCAGTTATAACAGAAAACAATTAAAGATTAAACCGTAGTCGTTTAGTTGATTTCTAGATGTGATAATGTTGGCTAACTTAATAGAGAGACAATTGACAAAACAGAGATAATCCAGTCCATAGAATTTATAGATGAAAAAAATATGACTGGAAAGTATTATCCGAAGGGTGTTGTGATAGATTCACAATCCTTTAGATCATTTGCTACAAGGGTGTGTAAACCTTTCAAGTTCTATTATTCATCAAACCAAATCCCATTTACACTTTTTCCATAAGTTGAAATATTTGTAACTGAGCAAATTGTCTAAAATGTCACTTATCCGGTCAGTCAGACATACGCAAAGTAGAAACTGATCTTCCTCATAAACTGGGATGATCGGAGATTGCTATCAATCAAATAGGATAACGTCCAGTTCTAAGATTCTGGTTACGATCTCAGTCAATTTAGACCATCATTCCTAAAACTTTTCGGAGCTAATCCATCCAGATCTTCTGTTCTCCTTCACTTTAGGTTACCTATAGTCTTTTCAGTTTCCATTAGAGTTAAAGGATTACTTGAAATTAGTCGGTAAGTGAAGGCCAGTTGAACTGTTCCCTAATGTGTTCTGCCCATTGATGCAGCCTACCGAATTACGTGTGAATAATAGTTCCTTTTTTTAAAATGGTCTTCCTAACTGTCGAATTTATAAGACTTGTTTCTTTAATAGATCTATATATCTATCTAGAAAAACCATATTTAATATATAGATTGCAATTTACGTTGAATACTATCAGTCGTTTAAGAAAACTTATTAATGATAACATCGTATAACAAACGATCTACTAGTGAATTAAAGTATCACAATAAGAAAATTAAGGGTTTTTTATAAGTTACATCAATCTCTGAAACCCAGATTGGTTTGTGAACAATCAGTTATATTATTTGTGGGGAATTCATTATTTTTTTATGAAAGGACTAATGAAAATGTTCTGAATGTAAGACTTTATAGAAATAGACTAGAACAGTTCGATATTCATACAGTTCTTCTATAATATGATTATAGTTCAGTATTATCCATTGGTAGTTAATAAACAAATCAAATTTTATATTTTCTTAATTGTCACTAGGGTTATTCATAATAAAATAATAAAAAAATGAAGAAAAAATTGAATTGAACATTTGTTTCATCATAATTTTGAACTTTTCAACATGTTACATCATTTACTTTCCACTAGATTTATTAAGCTATTCAAGATAACACTGAAGAAAATAAACAATATTCTGAACGTCAAATGTTTGATACTAGAATTTATGGTCTACTTACGTTTTAATAAGTAGCCATATATATTTACAAAATATATTTTGTTTTCAAAGAAGATTTGGAGGTCTGTTAAAATTTGGGACCAAGATAAAACAGTAAACTAATAGTTTCTACATTTCTCCACTATTTCACAGAAGCCTATACTATAGGAAAGGACCCGTCAATATTCATTGCATAAGGAGGAAAAGTGAAGAATATTACTTCTAATCTATTGTTTTACTGTTGTTAGATGATTGAAGTATAATTCACACCTGGCTAGAAGGAAGCTTTTTTTCTTCTCGGTAATTCTAAAAAATATATAACGACTGTAATTGAAACGTTAAACCTTATTGATTGAAACTAATTATATTTCCAATGGAAAGTGTTTGATCACATACTTGTTGGAAACACGTTTTTACATATTGATTAAAATCTTCATTTCCAAACTGTCCAGTTTCACCAAGATTACGTGGAATAAGTACACATTCATATAGTAGAGCACCTAGTCGTTGCTCATCTACACAACCATCACGATCAGATATCAGACTGAATAGATCTATGAAGTGAAAAATAAAAATTCAACTACATCTGTTTTCAAGACGCTTTCTTGCCAAAATGCATTATAGAAAAAAATTAAGTGAAATCTGTTTAATTTCTTTTATTTGGAACTGATCCGCATAAAACTTAACTATGAATACTGGGTCTAAACATATTAGTTCTGTAGAAAGCATATGGCCATCAATTGATTTGCTGCTAGGTGATTTGAGATAGAATCATAAAATCCTGTATCTAGGTTTAGTATTAGTGGGCACTGGTCACAAGTTGTACCTAAAACCTTGAGGTAACAGACGCTTTCCACAAGACTACAACTTTTTCAAAACAGTTTCACAAAATGGGACGTTATGACTAAGTTTTTACAATTTATAAGGACCTCCTGAAGTTATTCTAAACGATGAGCCTTTTAGTCTAAGAAATTTATTGAAAATACTGAATTTTTCTAGTATGGGGTAATCTGAGTTCAAAAATCTTAATAGATAATCAAAAAAATATGATTTGACACAAGGTACCTTATGATGTTGATTACTTTGATTCAATAACGCTGTTTAGTTTGCGCCTACATTATATAAAATTGTAATGCATTAGATATTAATTTCATGACTTTTCTATTCGTGTAATTATCAACTGAATGATTTAAACAAATCAGTAATCTGAGTAGATATAACAACAATTTAAGTAGTATAGTACTAGTTCGATTAACTCATTCAATTTTTATGTACACAGTCTACAACTGCTTTTGTTATACAACCTTTTGATAATATCGACTACTCGTTCTAATGTTGATTTAAAAATAATAAATGCTTTAAATGAAGAAAAATTAAAATTTTCAAATAAAATTTCAGGTTAAACTTAAAAACAGTATTTCATTATCAGTAATGGGATTTGTGGAGATTGTATTATTTTCACAATTGAATTCATGAGATGATTTAATGTAGACCACCATTGAAAATCTGGAAGCACTGGATGACTATTTTTACTTCAATAATTCCACGATGTTGCGCGACCGTATTCCATTGCCTTCAATGGGTAACTGACACCTGACACGTGACACAGATCAGACTCCAATGGTCAGGGCTTCTCACTAAACACTGGATGCCGGCTCAGTTGTCTAGAGGTTGGGCCTTCGTGTGCGAAACCGAAGGTCCTAGGCTCGAGTCCAACATGCGGAAATGTAGACGCGCACTACTGAAGAGTTCATCGCTAGAAAGAAGCGGCCATCCATTGCTCCCAGGTTTCCGATGGTGGTCTAGAATAAATCGACTTGTGAATTCAACCGTATTTTACTAATCAATTAATCTTGTAGACGTCAGTTCAAATTCGAGTGAATAATTTTTCAAAGTTTTGTTTGAAAATGTTTTCAGAAATTCCCCATGTGTCTAAATTGTACTTACATCGATATTTCTCATCTAAATTTGCCATTGACATTAAAGCCAATGCTACTTTGAATGACAGAACACGAATGGTACCACATCGCATTCTGTAGAAAGAGATGAGGAAAAAATAAACACGAAATAAAACAGTATTACAAAAATAATATCAAAATATTTCAGACAAAGAAATGAAGTCTATGTTAATTAAGGTTTCTTTTCTAGTACCGAGTTACCACAAAGAAGAACAAATGATTTTCAAGTTGACTTCTTATAGAGAAACTTACTCATGTGCAACCGATCAGAAAGTGGAGAAGACAATAGGAATAAGCTAATATATATCTTATTAATTTAGTTATACTTAAACTAATTTAGCCCCTTGATATTGTAAACTCTATCCATACTTAAATTTAATGACTAAACAATGTCAAGTATTTACGAGTTCAGTGTGTTCGATTATGAGTACATCATGCATAATGTACTGTATTTAAAGTAGTTTTTGGTTATTATTTTTTTGTTACATGAAGAATCCTCATCAATTTTCGTTGCATACTTCTTTATATGATACTAATCACAGTATTTCTTGTTCAAAGTACCAGTCTTCGTTTGGTCATAACAGTCAGCAAGCATCACTTTATTTACAGTTAAAACAAACGTAATCAATATTCGATTCTTTTACCAGTTTTTCATACTGAAGTTGAAGAAAAAAATACTATATTATAGGTAAATGCAAACCAGAAGTAAGAAACTATACAGACTGCTTAGTTTCATCTATAGCATATTTTTTAACATGTTCACTGCTTTGGTGCAAACAAAGAAATGATTCTGCTAATGACAGAGAGATGACAATATTTTTTTAAATTATGTAACATGTAATGTGGTGTGCGCTGCATATATACACATAAGTAGTATATAACGATAGTCAGAAATAGAATGTATTTCATTAGAAGATCGAGAAGGAAAGAACGGGAACGGAAAGCAATTGTTATGAAAATGCAGGAACAATGAAATCTGAGACGATGGACTGATATTTGCAAAAGAAACAGTCACATTTGAGAGAATCGATTGATGTTTTGCAAATTAAAGAATTACTATATGGTTCTCAGATTTTAGTGAGAAATTCTGTAATTTCGTGTCGAATAAATTCGTTCGTCCCCACTTGTGTTCTTATTCACCACAGGAATATTTAATTTAGTCTCAAAAGGTAAATATGAAGACTAGCGATTGAAAATTATGGTGGCCATTAGTTCTTTTGATTTAAAATATGGTAACTGGATAGCATGGCTTTATTTAAAAAAGGAAAAATAAATTAATTCATCATTTTCAATTCTGTCAGATGAAATCACAGAATTCCTAATAGTTGAAAGATTTAAATTATGGTTACTGAAACCTTTTGTTGATTGGTTAAGATTTAGTAGAAACCAAGAGAGGAGTTGACATAGCTTCAGATCACCATTTGGTGGTTGCCAACATGAAACTGAAGTTAGAGAAGCACTGGACAACTGGACAAACAGTATTACAAATAATCAATACAGCCTTCCTTCGAGATAGTGACAGAATCAACGATTATACTCAGTTGAAATATATAACATTTAAAAGATTACATATTCCGTCGATAGCGGAAAAAGCTGCAAGAGAAGGAAATCTGAAACAACCAAATAACACAATGAGGAAACTAGCAGGGAAATATAATAAACCAAAGTGACCGGTCAAGAACAAAGAAAGCAAGACAATCACTGAAATTTGAGAGCAGAAAAACAGAATACTCCGAGAAACTCCTGAATAGACGAGCTAAAATGAACCCAGCATATATCTAGGCAGTACCTACAGTCCTTTCTACATATGTCACTCCACCGACGATAGAAGAAATCAGGATGGCCATCACACACATCAACAGTCGGAAATCAGCAGGACCTAACAATATACCAACCGAAGCACTGAAGTCAGACACAGAAGTAACTAAAGACATACTCCACCTTCTATTCAAGAAGATTTGGGACGAAGAGCAAGTGCCACTGACAGACCGGAAAGAAGGATACCCCAACAACATACCAAAGAAAGATCTGCGAAAATGTGGAATCTTCAGAGGCATCACATTACTATCCGTACAAGGAAAGGTTCTCAATAAAGTGTTGCTGAACCGAATGTAAGATTCAATGAATACCCAGCTTCGAGATCAACAGACTGGATTCCGTTAGGATCCATCATTAAGAGGCCGAATTGCGACACTACAGATCATCGTTGAATAATCACTTGAGTGGAAAGCATTTGACAGCGTGAATAGGCGAACTCTGTTGAACCTTCCTCGAAACTATAGTACAACTGGGAAGATCGTCAACATCATCCGGAATTCATACGACGAACAAAAGTACAAAGTCGGGAATGGAGGACAGTTTATGGATGCATTCCAAGTTAGGACTGGAGTCAGATAAGGCTGATTACTCTCCCACTTCCTCTTTGTTCTGGTGGGTGACTGGATTATGAAGATTCCGACATGTGGGGGAAGCACTGGATAGAATGGATAGACAGGAATCAATTAGAAGACTTGGAATTGGCAGATGACCTGGCCCTTCTATCGCATACACGCGAACAAATGTGGATGAAGACAACTAGTGTAGCAGCAGCCTCTGCATCAGTAGGCCTCAACATACACAAAGGAAAGAGCAAGATCCTCAAATATAACACGGAAAACACCAACCCAGTCACACATGATGGAGAAACTCTGAGAGAGGTGGAAATGTTCACGTATCTGGACAGCATCATCGATGAATAAGGAGGATCCGACACGACCCGAAGGCGAGGATTGACAAAGAAAGGGCTGCATTTCTACACTCGACGAACATATGGAACTCAAAACAACTGTCAACCAATGTCAAAGTCACAATCTTCAATACGAAGGTGAAGACAGTTCTACTGTACGGAGCTGAAACTTCGAGAACTTCCACAAGCATCATGAAATCGGTACGATTATTTATAGACAATCGTCTACGCAAGATACTCAGTATCCGTTGGCCTGATACCATCAGCAACACCCTACTGTGGGAGAGAACATACGAACTTCCAATTGAAGAGGAAATTAGGAAAAGATGCTGGAAGTGGATAGAACATACATTCAAAAAATCATCAAACTGCATCAAGGGGCAAGCATGCTAACTTGAAATGCTGAAGGGGAAGTGAAAGGAGGAAGGTCGAAGAACACACTTCATCGAGAATTGGAAGCAGATATGGAAACGATGGATAGCAACTGTAAACAACTGGAAAGTAATGCTCAGAATAGAAATTGGTGGAGCGTGCTGGTGGGAAGCCTATGCTCCTCCATGGCGGATAACAGACGTAAGTATGTAAGTAAGTGCTTCATTATTTTATCAGTCGAAATCATTTACCCTTCTACATTCTATCATTATGGATTATGGTATGACTAAAATACTTTTTCAACTAAACAAAATATTTTTCTTTAGAATGCTGAAATAAACATTTTATTAATCGTAATGCCATCTAGAATCAATATGATAAAGACCAAGTAATTCTATATCAAATGAACTAGATCTTAGTATTTAATCTATTTGTTATCTCCATGGAGAAGAGGGAATCTGACAATATTAAACAATAGCGTGATTTGGACATTTGTAAAAGATTTGTTTACCAGGTAAATGATAATTTTCTGTTCAACTCAAGGAATATAATGCTATCTCAATCAGTTTAAATAATTATTTTTACGTATAACACACAACTATAGTACAAATAAGGATAACGAAATAACATACCGGTCATAAACATTTAATAACCAATTCAATATAAGATCAACGCATACATTCACCGGACGTTTAATTGAACCAATTAAATAATGCTTTCTACGTCTCATTGTATTTCGTCGACCACGATTAACACTATTCATATCTTTATTGTTATTATAATTGTTAACTTGCATAATTGTGCACACAGGTAGACTAGAACTTCGATTATCTTCACTTAATGTATTTTCATTTTCTATTGTATGACAGCCTGGATCACGAACAGGAGTTTTAGTCAATTTTCTACTGTTTTCATGTTCAGTTGATGGTGAAGAAAATAATATTGATTTATTTGGACGTGTTGTTGAAGATGAACGTAGAAAACTCCCCATACAATTTCTTGAATGATTTTGTGATTCAATTGTACTTGATTTTAATTCACACTAAAAACATAAACTTATTATCAGTATATTTGTTAGAATTACCATAAATTGCTAAGTTATCAAATTCATAAAAAAAGGTTATATTATTGATTTAACACAGGGAATTGGATAAATATGCAATTAGGTGATCTTTACTTTATGATGTATTAACAGCAAAACAATCTCACTCAGAACCTGTATCTTGTTTTATACTAATTGAGAATTTTGTCCTGGATCTAGACAGATTTTTTCTTTCTAAGTTAACATTAAATCTCATTAGTCATCATTCAAACTTCAAGGTTTATTTGTTAGTAGTCAGTCAGTCAGTTACAACGTGGAACCAGATATGTTTATGTATCGGTCCAAGTTGCCACAACTCATTAGCACAACAAGATGAACACCAAATTCATAGAATTAGTTACTTTAATGGTAGTAATATGTAAAAAATGATTGCATATAAGGATATGATATAGGGAGAAAGAATTAGTTCGTATAAAAAAAGGTATAAAGTAATTTTAATCTCATGGTTTAAGGGAGGACAAAGAGTGTGTACACCGACGCCACTGTGATCGATACTGAGATTCGCAACATCATCAACTGATTTACTATCATTCTCTAATACCATGAGTATAGTTAGTAAAGACTGGAGTTCTCCATTTCATAATACCGTAGCTTATACTACAATCGTATATTAAAAGAAGATTGAACTCTCAAAGAAAAAAACTTTTGTTCTAGTAGGCGTTCAATAAGCCTAAAATATAACTGTCAAACTATTTTGGCTTCAGTAATAATTCTTACTTGTTTTTCGATCGAGAAAAATTAGATAACAAAAGAAAGAAAGTAACACTAGACGTAGTCTAATTATTTCAAAGTTGTTATTTTGAAAAGAAAGGGATGAGTTATAACAAATTAAGAAGCTGATATGTACTATAATAAAAAGCAACCTGTTTTAAGAAATATTTAAACGAATTTACCCTAGACCTTGTCGAAATAGTTAATTTCAATGATGTATAATAAAATAATGATATTTTGATGAAAAAGCACTTTATTGTGGCAACGGATAAATGAAGCTGTAAACATTAATCTGTTGCAGTGTTTGAGACATGTATTGCACGTACTCACATCTGACATCTCTATGAATGTTTTAGGCTGATTAGTATAGGAGTATGTTGGAAAGAGATTAATAATGACTAAAGCAGGACATCGCACTAAATCATGAAGCAAGTAATTGTTGAACTGAAAAGTATTTAGTTATATTCATAAGACAATATCAATTGTCTTTTTTTTATAAATGACAAACTCTGTATGTTAAACACCAAATGTATCCAGGCCCTGTTATGAAAAAATTCACTGATTATCGTGAAGATTTAAGCAAAATTATGACCATGGTTTTGTATACTACTTTATTTATATTCCTTTAGCGGAAATGACATTCAATTATATTGAGATTTATGCATCAATTACCATTATATAATGAAACATTTCTTTGATATAATGCAAGTCAAAAAATGTTTGCTTATAAATATGAAAGGTATCTGATTATTATTGAGAAACACTTTCATATAGATTTTGAATATTAACAATTTAAATGAATAGTGAGAACAAATTTGTTTTCTGTTGTACATATGGCCGGATAATCAAATACACTGCATTTTGAGATGGTGAAGATTTGTAGCTCAGGTGGATGATTTTGATGAAGTTTTGTTCTCTGAGCTGGTATCTTCAACGGGAGATACAACCAAAACAAAGAAGTAAACAATGACAGGTTTAAGACCAACAAGAACCAATCAACTTCGAGGCCTACAGGACAGGCTGTGAACCACATGTGGAGAAATTTGAACACTTTAATTATATCTGAAGTTTATGCTGATGATGTCGTTCAGAAGAACAATGAAAACTCCACGATCAAAATATCCAGGTCAGAGAATAAAACTCTATGAATATATTGCACTAAATAGAGGGATTATTATTACCACTAATGTTATAGATCGTTTGTAGACTGTTCCATTTAATCAATGATATCATTATGTATAACTAGTTTTAGCTCATGTTTATAATAATATTTATTCTACTTCATTTTGTCATTTGTCGTTCCATTTACTTAAATATATATTTATAAAAATACTATGTAATTTTAAAAGTACAACTTACATCGGAAGGTCGTGAACCTGGCAGTGTTGAATAGGGTTCATTAATATGATCTTTTAAGTTGGAATTAGAACCATGAATATTATTTAGACATGGTTCATTTACTTTCAAATTATCTGCATCAACTCCAGAATTATGTCCATAAGAACTATCAGTTGTAGATTTTTGATTATGATTATTTAATCCGTACAAAGTTCTTGTATGATTAAACAATTGTAGTAAATAATCAATAATTTGAGGTACACTTATCATACGATCAAATGGATCAGTTGTTTGTTGACCAAGTATAGGATTACTTAATGTTTGTGAATGGCCAATATGTTTTAAACTCTCGGCAACAAATGAGATACTTATCGAATCAACTAAAAATAAAATAATTACGAAAAACATATCAAATAGATGAGTAGATACATTGAAATACAGACGTGTTTTCCAGCTTTCGTCATATATACACAAAAAATAAGGGAATATGACTGAATTATGAAACAATTATTCAGCTCAATAAAAATTAAACTAATTAGATTCTGTTTTGATGAAATAAAACTTTTAAAGAGTTTCACTAGAAATACAAGGTAAAAATTTATTACCACGTACTCTTCATGCTTACAATTCTATGCATCAATATCAATGTAAATAATATTGACAGCACATGTGTTAACAGTTTTGCAAATTATTTTTAATCATTAATAATGAATCTAATTTATTCAATTATTTGACTGACAATAACTCACTGAAGACAATGGTGGACAGTGGCTCGATTTCGTGGATTGGTTGAAGTTAGACATTAACACTGTTGGATGCTGGCTCAGTGATCTAAAGATTAAGCGTTCGCTTATGAGACTGATAGGGCCTGGATTCGAGTCCCATGGTCGGAATCGTGATTGCCCACTGCTGGGGAGTCCCGCACTAGACTGTTTAGGTTTCTCATGGTGGTCTAGCTTGAACTGACTCATGAACTTAACTATTAAAATTACAATAATATTCAAAATCTCTAACCAGTAAAAAGACTATCATATTAAGCTCAATTTTAATTCATACATTTAACTATGTATATTATAATTTTTAACATCATTTTTAATTCAATGTTAATATTGAGAAAAGTTGTATGACACAAATTATTGTCATATTTTCGTTTGATCAACTTAACAATCTATACATAATTTTATAGTGTATATATAAATAAGAAATACTAGTTCAGTGAAGAGTTCTCTTTATGGCGAATTCATTTTCAAAGCTGTAAAATCGTAAATATATATATACTTATTTTTACAGGATGATAATAATACTGATAATAAACTTCTGTTAGGCATGATGACAGTGAGGTTAAATAAACAAAGGTATTAAAAAATTTTTTAAAACAAGGAAAGTTTAATGATCGTTTGATTGTTAATGGCTGAAGTATTCATCAAAAGATAGATAGGGAAATTATCATTCGGAAAGGATGGCTCATCATGATCAGATAAAATGTTGAAATTGAGGTTAAATGTAATCAGAATGGTTGTGGAAACAAAATAAACCAGTTGGGGGTAGAAAATTTATGGGGAAGATGGAAGGTGAAACAGATGGTTGTAAAGGAAGAAGAGTATGAAGAAAGAGAAAAAATTATAAAACATTAAGACCATAGTAGAAGAAGAGGCTGTACCAGTCTCTTTTGCACACACAATTCTGGCTTTTCAGATGTATGGCTAATGCTCTGACAATGCAAAGAATATGCAGTCTAATTGTCTTTGGAAGACTTCTTCCTACCTTTTAGACTTTGAACGCAGAGTCTGTCTTGGTTGCGTAACCTGTATTCACAAGGTGTCCGATTATTAAGCTTCTTATTGAGCCGTTTCTTCCTCTTTTTAGTCACGCCGGATAATGTTCTTGAATTCTTTTGAATAAAGTACGCATCGAACGACCTATATACCTGGCTCCACATGAGCAGGTAAATTGGTAAATGCATATTGAGTCCGTTAGATGCGATAATTTATCTTTAAGATTATTGGTGAAAAACGATTAGCTGAAGAATACTATTCGCAAACTTGCTGCAAAGAATGTTATTTATAAAGAATCAGAAATTCTCCTCTTTAAGATGTATGTGGCTCTGTCACCCTTGAATTCGATGTTCATGTAATTATTTGTGTTCTCGGCGTTTTAGATTTTATGTTCTTACCAATGAATATCGAAGTATACCGGTTTTTAGTAAGTATCTATCTTTTGATGAATAATCAAGCCATTAACGATCAAACGATTGTTAGTTTCCCTGTTTATAAAAAAAAGTTCTTTTTTATTTCTTTGTTTATTTAACCTCACTGTCATCATGTCTAACAGAAGTTTATTATCAGTATTATTATCATCCTGTAAAAATAAGTATATATATATATTTGCGATTGTACAGCTTTGAAAATGAATTCGCCATAAAGAGAACTCTTCACTGAACTAATCTTTCTTACTTAATGTCTTAATAGATGTATTCATTAACTCATAAATAATCTATATCATGTAACAAAAGTTACATTTATTTAAACGTAAAAAGACATTATTGTGTTACATATAAATACCATTAATAATATTTACCATATTTTGACAGCAAATGTAAGAAAAAGAAGAGAAGAATGAAAGAAAGAAAGAAAGAAAGAAAACATTTTAGTAACTAAATAAAATGGTATAAATTCGGGTTTTCTGAAAATTTTTGTTGTTGTTGAGAATTCAACGAAAGTAAAAACCATTTTTGCTAACAATCAGTGTGATAATTTAAATGGAAAAGATTTCGTGAACTTCTTTCAGTAGTTATTTATATGATGAAGTCAAAGAAATAATTGGAAAAAAGGATGTTACGTAGTGAAATTTTATGTTTTATGACATATATTGAATAACTTAATAAATATATAGTCATCAGTTCGGAGGTTGTGGAAATTGCTAACTTTTTGATTGAAATCACGAGCCGATTGATGTTAGACCACCATGGAAAACCTGGAAGCACTGAACAGCCGTCTCGTTCTATTGTGGGACTCCTCAACAGTGCGCATCCACGATCCCACTCTCAGGACTCGAACCAAAGGCCTTCAGTCTTGTGTGCGAACGCTCAACCTACTGGACCACTGAGCCAGCCGGCATCCAATGATATTAGTGACCAACATACTGATAATGAACATGTAATCACTAGTGACTAGCTTCGTGAGGGAATTCTCGGAGTTCTAGTGAGAAGCCGTGACCAGTGGAGGTAATCCGTATCGGGTAGAGACAGGTATTTACCTCAGTACAATCGAAGATGGTCGCGCAATTTCGTGGATCGGTTGAGGTTAGACATTAACACTGTTGGATGCCAGCTCAGTGGTCCAGTAGGTTAAGTGTTCGCGCGCGAGATCTGGGGCCCTGGGTCCGAATCTCGCGGGGAGCGGGATCGTGTATGTGCACTGCTGCTGAGTCCCACAATAAGACGCAACGGCCGTTCAGTGCTTCCAGGTTCTCAATGGTGGCCTAACATCAATCAGTTCACGATCTCAATCAAAAAGTTATATGTAATTAACTTTATTCAGTAACAATATTATGATTTTAAGTAGATCAATACTATTAATAATTATATGAAATGAAGAAAATATCAAGTGACTAACTTACAACACAGTTCTTTTTGCAAACGACGTAGTTTTAAACCAGTTCGATAATCAGAGAAACGAACAGTATTAAATTGTTTCATAGATTTCATTAAATCACATAAAATTGGATGGTCCCATTGAGTTTCTTGCGTTTCATGACTAAAAAATGAAAAGAATAGATAATGCCATTGTTGTTTCATGTTGTGAAGTTAAGTGTATCTGATGAGTTTCAACGTGGACGAAACACGTTTACTATATTCAATTAATAATCACGTTAGAAAAGCATAATGATTATTGCATGTCGTTTAACCATACACTGAGCTTAAAGTGATTATATCATTTTGGTGTATGTAAATTTCACTGAATTCATTTGAAAAGTTTATTCCTAAATGAGAATATTATCTAAACAATTTTATAATAATATGTACTTTCATTTTATAAGATTGTTTTAGTATAGAGATCTAAAGTTAATAGGTATTAATGTAAACAAAAGAAATTGTTCTCCATTAGAGTTGAGTAATAGACAACCACTAAAAATATTCATTTAGATTACATAATCGTCAAAAACAATTTGTGAATTAGTCAAAATTTAGTTATCATTTGTAATACCAGTTTCTATAATAAAAAAATATGTAAATTCTAGAAGTTTCTATTTATAAGCAAGAAATATAATCATCTTGAAGTTGATTATATCAAAATTATCGAAACTTTCTACATTCTTTTTCTATTTTTGATTTTTATTATTACCCTGAAGAAGTCCAGACACGTTAGCTGGACGAAACATTGGAGTGATTTGAAATTCAGTCACTGAGATTATTTCAGATATAGTTTTCACATATAATAGATTCTTCTATTTGTCTATAGATTTTAACCATTTAGGAATATATGAGAACTTTCGTTAAGTGAAAAGTTTCATTTCAGTTCACTGAAGATTTGAGTGAAAGTTATATTCGTAAACATCTTATCTATGACAGTTAAAAAAATAATTTCATTATTTAGCTTGGCAATTGAGTTTGTTTCATCGATTCATTCTCTTTTCTTAAAAAAGTTGTATTGTACAATAAATATAAACAAATATTGTAGTTCATACTTACTTTTTATAGTATGGAACTTGTGTACCAGATGGATGAACACATCTTTCCCATGGTAAACGAACAGAATCTGAAAAAAATAAGTAGAATGATGTTTGTAATAATTTTTTTTTTATTTGCATTTCAGTCCTATAAAGGACGAAATGGGTATCCAATGCTTCCAAGTTTTTAATGGTATTCTACCTTAGATCGACTCATGAATTCAACTATTAAAACTACTATAATCTCTGCAAACTTCCAATTCTGAAAATAAATTTCTAACAAATATGTTGATTATCATAAGAATAAGGTATCTAGCTAAGCTGTTACACAATATATAAAATGAAACACGAATGAGGTGTACTAATCTGAAAATTGTCAACTACTTTCGTAGCTGATTATAAACTCATTTTAATATTTGTAGGATATTCGCTTAAAACAGACTATGAAAGTATATCTTGAATTACAGGATTTATAACCAATCATCTAACTATAATGCATAGTAAATAAATGAAAACTATTCTACTGTAAAAAGAAAAATTTCATAGTTTCCAGATGGTTTATTTCATGGTAAAACAGAAAAAACAAAGATTAAAATATCGTGATGAATAGAGGAAATCAGTTGTCTAATGTATAATATTGAAAAAGTACCAATTAATATTGAGATTTATAGTTTACAAGAAATTAACTAAAAAAACATAAAACATTGATAGTATCAATTGTCAACTCCTGATTTTCACAGTTTAGCATATGGGAAAATAAGTCACTGAACAAATTGAAATACACCCATTCATCAAAGATGTATAGTGGCTAGTAGTGGAATCCAGTTTGATGCACGTGTCGTCCTATTCGAAATTTGTCAGCTGGATGTACCTGCATCGCAGAGTTGATATTCACTCCAGGAGTCAAACCTAGTACCGTTCGCTTCAAACGCCATCGCGTTATTCACTTACCCATTGAGTCTTGATAGCCACCTGCTTGTGCAACGTGATGAAGTTTAAATTCACTTGCTGTTGCTTTACTTGTATCTTCCCACTGTTGAACATCAACTCTGGGATGCAGGTACACCCAATTGACGAGTCCCTAATAGGACGAAACGCGCGTCAAACTGGATTCCACTGCTAGCCACTATCCATCTTCGCTTAAAAAGCTTTTGACTTAAGGCTATATCGAGGCAATCTTCACAGGATGCACATATACCGAGATGAGACTGGTCAATTGCAGTCCTAAATAACAATTGGAAGATAGATGTAAAACAACACCAAGTGAAAGACCATTCATAGTTTATAGGCATTTGATTTTAAATAATTATTCTGGGTGTATGAGATTAATACTAATCGTTATAAAGGTCTGTAATTGGTATACAGCTTTAAACTACTTTATTAAATTAAATCTGAATAACTATGATATCTTGCAAAACTCTGTTGTCAATTTAATGTATGGAATTATGTTGATATGAAAGTGCTAAATGTACACAACTACCTTACTCACTATAATAAAGAAAGCTCTGTCTAATGTCTCAAAAGAGATGAAACGTGTGAAGTGAATATTATTTCGAAAACCATTAAAAGACTGAAGTTATTTAAAACAAAGTTCTCTCACCGTGTAATGGAACATTTTTTGATTGTCCTGAAGTCGCTAAGATAGTTTGATCAACTGGTTCTATAGCTTCATGACGCGATCCTTGAGTACGTTGAGAGGAATTACGTGTAACGGTTTGATATTTCGGTCTTTGTGGCATCATTTGTAGTGCTGATAAACTTTGATTAAGTTGATGAATTCGAGTTTGTGTAATAACACGTATTCTTTCAAACCTTTTAAGTAGAAAATAAAAGAGGTGGGTTGAAAAAAACTTGAATTTAGTTCTGAAAGGAAAATGACTCAATGTACATACATGTTCACAATAAGGCTCTATTTCTGTCAAGTAAGATGAATATATCAAAATAAACGATATTTAAAAGACGGATTATATTCGTTGAATATGCTTGTGTGCATTTTAGCTGAAGTGATTGTAGACGACATGGTGAATGACTAATTATAAGGAAGTTTGAGAAATATATTATAATCGATATCCGTGTTTAGGCGGCATATTCTAGAACTTTTACCAGTTCATTCCATTTATGATATAATAATCACTTTCTGTATGTAAGCTTGACAATAAATTTAACCGTATATTTTCGATGAAACTATACTAATTAATATAATTATGCAACAGTTCATAATATGTTTATAATTTATACAAACAAAACGGAATTCACTTATTTTATGTCAATGAGTATAAATTCAAAGTGTTTGTGATGATTTATATCCCAAATATATTCTTATATTTCAATATATGTAGTATAAGACTAAAATTTATAATTTCGCTTTATCTATAAAGTAATCAGTTGTTATTATTAATCTCATTTTGTATTGTTTGTTCCAATCTTTCTATTGATGTTTAAGACTAAAATTGATCAGTCTCTTATTGGCATATATGCACCCTATACGGATCGTCTCGATTTACTTCAAATCCGAAGCATTATAAGCAATGATGGATGGTTGCCACATACATCCCAGAGTTGGTGAAGATACATCCAGCTGACGAATCCCAAGTAGGATAAAACACGCGTCCTGGACTTCACTGCTAGCCACCATCCATTAATCATTATTATAATTGTTAAATAAACTCATATGGGATTAGTTTAATAATCGAAACGACCATTTAATGATTCCAGGTTTTCATTAGTGATTTAACATTGATCCCAATTAATAATATATAATTTTAAAATCATTCTTTAATCGACATACGTACACATTCTGTTGAAGTGTACTTACATTTTACTTAACTAAAGAATTTGAAATATATATAATTGCACTGTTTCTAGGCTGTTACTATTTTGATAATACCTAATGTAAAACCCTTTTTTTAAACTCTATCGTTGATAGTTTTTACTTCTATTGAAACATTTAATTTTCATGTATCGTATATTATTAGAATTACCATTCTGGAGGTAGAGCATATTGAGATCAATGCTGCTATGTGTTTCATATAACTCGCTAAACATTTTATATTCACTAGACGACCAATATTCTGCAATTCCATTTAATCACTCGAAAAATATTGTTTATCAGATGTTAATAAACATGCTACAGAACTTAAATAAAACATAAATATCGAAGAATTGTCATCATCCGATGCCTTATGTATATAAAAATGTAAGGGATATATGAGGGAGTATCAATGGTTGCCATAGCTACTAATTTAGTGAATGATATGTTTATTTACATCTTGGAGATACGTTTACCAACGTGGTTGCAATTAACTTTTCATGACAAATTTTAACAAACAATGAAAACTAAAGTTTAAAACGTAAGCTTTTAATCAACTCAAGATATTGTATATGTGAATTTCATCAAATCGGTGTTATTCACATAATATCCAATTATAAAACCATGTACGAAGTATAGTATTGAAACTAACAATAACTGTTGAGTTTTGTCGATCAACAAATAAAAAATAAAGTCAACGTTATAAGTTCAAAAAATATTACCTGAACCTTATTAGTTTATACATAAAATTTATTAATCATTTTTATATACACCTTAAAAGTAATTACAACCTTTATTAAAACAGAAATACCATATATCTTCTATTTATATTATTCTGATAAAATAATTTGTCAGATAATTTGAAAAACAAGTACACAAACTAACGTGAATATAATATTCTCTTATGTATATGTTCTTTGGATACTTATTTCTTATTCATTTGCTTTACAAGGAAGTCAGTTATTAATATCAGAAGGGGTTTTGTGGATATTATAGTAATTTAACTAGTTGAGATCATGAGTCAATTGAAGCTAAACCATCATTGAGAACCTGAAAGCACTGAACGGCCGTTGCGTCTTATTGTGGGACTCAGCAGCAGTGCACATACACGATCCCGCTCCCCGCGAGATTCGGACCCAGGGCCCCAGATCTCGCGCGCGAACACTTAACCTACTGGACCACTGAGCTGGCATCCAACAGTGTTAATGTCTAACCTCAACCGATCCACGAAATTGCGCGACCATCTTCCATTGTACTGAGGTAAATACCTGTCTCTACCCGACACGGATTACCTCCACTGGTCACGGCTTCTCACTAGAACTCCGAGAATTCCCTCACGAAGCTAGTCACTAGTGATTACATGTTCATTATCAGTATGTTGGTCACTAATATCATTGGATGCCGGCTGGCTCAGTGGTCCAGTAGGTTGAGCGTTCGCACACAAGACTGAAGGCCTTTGGTTCGAGTCCTGAGAGTGGGATCGTGGATGCGCACTGTTGAGGAGTCCCACAATAGAACGAGACGGCTGTTCAGTGCTTCCAGGTTTTCCATGGTGGTCTAACATCAATCGGCTCGTGATCTCAATCAAAATTATTATTGTTATCTGAAATTTGTGTTTATCATTAAGATACTTATCATCATAACCGAGCATTGGTTACGATTTTTTTGTAGTTTATTTTTTATGACATAATTTTTCGACTTGCATAGAAATTATATGCACTTAATTTTTAGTAATTTTCTAATGTCACAATAGTTGACAACTAGAATCAATATAACGAAATAAATTAAGTCCCGCTTCTGCGCGATCTGTCAAAAGTACGATACCACTCGTGTTGACAAAACTCAGAATCTGCCCAGATTGATTTAGTGTTGTTATATGTACTTATATAAAGATTATTGTGTTTAGAAAAGAGCCTGATGAGGATCTAATTGGAAAGAAGATTGTTCGATTATGTGCCACTCTAATTTGCACAGTCAAAATTTTTTACAAAACAACGATCAATCGAGCACAGTAACGACATTAAATATTTGAAAAAAATTGTTATTTATATTTAAAACATTTCATAGAAACTAGACGGCGAAAAACAATTATGAAATTGGAATGAGTAATGTGGTGAAATATTTATTCAATAAGGGTATGAAAATAACATTCAACTAGTGATGCTCATCAACGGTGATTGAATCAGAAGTATGATTGCCATCAAACAACGAACCACTAGAATGTCAACGTAACTCTTATCAGGATCAGATAGACGTTTAACGCTTTCTGATTTCAAATTGCTATCTATATGAGGTTAGTTCATGATGTGAAACTACAAAAAGAATACTCTCAACAAACCTTTTTACTAAAATTATTATATTTCTAATTTTACTGATGATTTATAGAAAGTGTTGACGTTTATTTTACACTTGACACCGCTGACTGGACATAGTTAAATAACTATTGGAAACCAGAAAACATTTGACAAGCCTCCTCTCTTTAGTAGTGCACAATCCATAACCTCGTCGAGCTTTCCATCCTTTGTAGGAACATGGATGTAGATTGCTGAAGAGTACATTACTATTAGATAACAGGTGTCTAGTGTTTCCTGATTTTCAATGCTTAGGACTTTGAATCTACTAATTTCTATAAATATTACGAAATTAGTCAACCTTTCAGTTTTAGATTACTTCTGCTTCATTTCTTAGATTTATCCTCAAATGACCTTGTATATATATAGCTTTTATTATCAATTAGTAAATCATTGTTGAAACTTTACCAACCCTTATAAATTTATATTATTCTACTTCACCTGTTACTTTTTGTTTTATATAAACAAAAATTGGTTAAATATTGAAAATTCAATGTAAGCGGGGGCGCAACTTCGTGGATTAGTTGAAGTCAGATATTAACACCGTTTGATGCCGATCAACTCAGTGGTCTAATGGTAAAGCGCTCGCGTGCAAGAATGATAGGTCCTGGGACACCTTTTCCGCTTCATTTTAATTAAAAACAAAAAATCTTTATTTAATTATGATAAATTCATAATTGAAATTTTCATTTCTTTGAGATTTATCCCTTTTCTTAAGTATCATCTATTGTGTGAGTAATTGATTACATTTCTGTGATGATTATGTGCAAAGGTCTTAAAAATAAATCAGTGAAAATTTATGGTTAGAAAAGTACACATTTGTACCATTTCATATATTTATAATAGTAATAACAATAGTCGAGTTCTTAGAAACATTAGTTAAAAATGGGAGAATTTAGATATTATGATTTGATAACTGATACCAGTGATGTAGGTAACTAAAATGAAAATATTGGACAATATGCATGCTTCCCATAATTTCAGGCATATTTAATCGTTTGTTCTTATTTCAAAGTTTCACTTCCAACAAACTTGTCGTTATACTGGTATAATGTTTGTTATTGCATGTATATATGTGTATGTACGTACGCGACAAATAATACATCTGTCTGCATCCCCTTCTAAGTTGCACTTCGTTTTATAAGCAAAATTTCTTTGAAGATAAACACGATGAACATTTCATATTTATTTTTATTCTTTACAAAAAATCTAACTCATTCTAAGGTATGTTTAATGATATTATTGAATCTAACTGGGCAATTTCGGAACAAAGGTTTGTATTTTTTTTAATCCAAATCTTTTGTAAGGAAAATTTTTACTTTTATGTTTAAGATTTCATTCATGATAGAATTTTCGTGCGGCAAAATATAATTTCCTTAAATTGATGGCATTTTAACCTGTGAATATTCATTCTCATCAGGCGTGATTATAGAGGCTCTCCTTTACATGGGTAGCATTTTGTATTACTAACCAACATTGGCTGCAGAACAGCAGAAAGCCCTTAGGTGCTGGATTTTTTTATAAAAAGGCACTCCACCAACCAACTATACAGATAATGATTGTAGTCTCACTAGTGATTTAATATGATGTAGATTGCTTGAAGTTCTAGTGAGAGACTATAGAGTCCTGAACATTTAATTATGATAGCAATGATAAACTAAAATGCTTATGATTTGATCATAGAAGTTAAAAGCACGCATAGCTGAATTTCAACCTAATGACTTATAGGTACCGTGCTGATATCAGGACTCTGAGTTTTATGGAGGTAAATAAGTGGAGATTAAGAAATTATTACAAAATGTTTTTGGTGTATAAGATTGTGTGGAGGGAATCTAAGTTATGGACGACCTAATCAGAAGCGTTTGAGAAATTTCAAGGTTACGGCGCCAACTTCAGTACTTAATGCTAACGTACGTTCGGATCACACGGAATTTTGTACAAAACGTGATAATTGAGTGACTATAACAAACAAAACGGCGAGACCATAATTTGTGAACGAATCAATCAGGTATAAGATAATAGATCTCGGATTTTGGCACAAAAGTCTTTCATCCATTTGGCTAAACAAATTTCTGGCATTATAGCTGATGTCAGTTCGTGATGAAAACCCTATATATAATTCCTAATTAAGGCGAATTACGACAATTATCGCGAACTGGATAACAAAAGCACCAGTCACACTGGCTGCAGCTAAGTACTACAATATATACGGATGTTTTGAGAGCGTACACACTCCTACATAGGCTTGGTTATGTGCATCGTGTCGTTATCCACAAGCAGCATTTTGTGCACTCAACAACCGGAGTGCACATAAACAGTATTGAAGCTGTGTGGTCGAGACTGAAAGAGTTCTTGAGACTTTATCATGGCTCCGGAGGCTGACTATTCTGTAGCCATATGGATGACTTCTTCTACTGCATGCATTACGAGTTTAGAACCTCTGAACCTCTTTCTAACCTTGACAAGTTTCTGAATCACGTATAAGAAGTGTATCCACTTTATTTCCTTGGTTTTGTATAATATATTTTTACTCTATACTGACTGTTTACTGATTGTCTAATATTTCTCAAGGTCACTTAAGATTTGTTCAAAGGGCGTCCATAAATTAGAGTCTCACCGATTGTGTAAATTGTTGAATAGCATAATTCTACATCTCAAACTGATCTTATTTAGGCAAATGGTGAATAATCCTCAAAAAATTAATAATGATCTGTTTCATTTTAAATGATATAAACTCGATTGAACTGAGACTAGTTAATTACCTTTTTTATTTTACTTCGAAGAATTCTAAGAACAAATCTACTTTGATTCATAAAAGAAAGTCAATGATGTGGAAATAAATTTTTTTTAAATATTGAATATGGAAGAAGTAAAACAGGTTTTCAGTGGGTCAATAGCTCAATTTATTTCAGAATCCAGTGAAATTTCATTGTTATTCATTTGTTCTTATGTTTTATTTTGCGGGTGAGGGGATTTTTTTCAAAATTAGAAGACAACCAAACAAACGAATAGTTTATTGTTTTCAAAATAGTAACAAACCCATGAACTGAATCCTGTTGTTAATTCATCAATGAATTATTTTGTATGTCTACTATGACATAGTAACCATATATAACATCAACTCCTGACTAAATAATATTATATTTATTAGTATATACACACGCATTTAATTGACCAATCTATAAATATTGTCGTATTTTCATGGCTTCATCGAAAAAAGCCATTATGGATTATTGAAAACTGTCTACATTATTGTTTAAAATGAAAAATATTCTCAATCAATTTGTCGAGAATTGAAATAGATAAACAAATCTATATTTATACTCAGTTGACAGGGTAGCAGCATATGCATTTATATATATATATATATATATATATATATATATATATATATATATATATATATATATATATATATATATATATATATATATATATATATATATATACAAATATAAATGTACACACGTTGTTATAGAAGAGATGAAATCAAGCAACCCGAAAATGTATACATCATTTCGAAAACCTATTAAAATAGAGAAATCGATTCTGATGAAAATACTTACTCATTTCTGATACAATTTAACTGCACACGTAATTTTGGTTCGATTTGTACTTGTATTTCTTGCAATTGAAGTACTTGTCGTTCTAAGCTGTCCAGTGAATGAGCCAATGGTTCACATGCTTCATAAAAAGACTACAGTACATAAAATTACATTCGATATATGATTAAAATATTTGTTTGTCAGTGTAATGATTTAGTTTTTTAATGATTGAAAACATGTGGAAAATAATGAACAAAACAGATGATTGGCGATCTTACAATAGATCAGTTTATTCTATTCTATAAATCTTGTTATGTTTTGTTCAAAAGTACCCTTAAAAAAAACTGAACGTGTGTCACACCAACGAACAATACCAATATGGTGGAAAGATAGATGAGGAGTTATTTCCTAGTCCGTTGTTTAAAAGTAATCGTCTATTTCTTATTGTTGAACATAGATCTAGTTAATCAACTTAATAATGTAATCACTGAATTGAAAAAAAGTTAGCTCATTTCATACTACATCAGTGGTTGAAGTAAGCCGTCTTACAATAATTGTTTTATTAAAACTGATGGTTATTCTCTTGAAATAAGCTCTACTTCTAGAAATATCAACAAATTCGCATTCTTGACTTCAACATTTATATCACTGAGTGATAAAACTAATCATTAAATAATGATTGGTTTTTCGAAGTTACATGCACACAATGCGTGAACTTCACAGAGGCTTTTTTCAGTTTCAGTATTTTTTAAGAGATTACATTGAATTATGTACATTAGGTGCTAAAAAATCAATATTAAACTACTGACTGGAAAAAACATCCATTAATAATCGCAATTGATTGATCGCTGGATGGTGATCAATGCCACGTGTTTCAAATCCTTCTTAGTGCAGATGGAATGCTATCGACCAAGTTGAAATGTGACCACCAGTCTAGGTGACTCGACATTGCAAGTACTATGTTGAGATAAGATAGTGATTAGAAGTAGTCAACAGGAAACCCTGGACCCAGGTATCGTGCTACTTGGCACATATCGGCAAGGTGTACCTGTAATCTTGAAGGAACTGCTGCTCCCTGAAGGATTTGATCCCATGTCACCCAGCTTCACAGTCAGAGACGTTACCAATGGGCGAGCGACCTCTTGTAGGACTGAGATGTAATCAAAATTGATTGATCACGGGCTGGTGACCAATGTCATGTATGTCACAGAAAAATGAAAATGTTTATTTATTTATGGTTTGTAAATTTATTAATTGTTCTTTCTTTTCTTCCTTTTTTCACTTTTCAAGAAATAAAAAAGCTAATAAAAATGAATGATTTATTTTATTCGGATTAAATAAAATTAATAACTAAACTGAACTTATAAAATTTGACCTATAAGACCTTAACAATAAATAAATCATTTTAAATAAATATTATTATTATTTTTTTGTTTGTTTATTATTATTATTATTTAATTAATTTATTAATTTTTCAGGTCATAATCAACTTAATTTGTTTGTTGTTTTTTTGTTGCAAATACTTTATGACAGGTAGTTTTGCACCAAAATGTACTGTTATTGACTTAGCAACACTAATCAACCACCACCAACAACGAAAAGTCTCTTCTATGACTATTTTTTATTTAAAGTTTCTTAGTTTATTGGTTAGAATAGTTTAAAATGAATTAAATTTATTTTCATTGAGTGTACAATTTATAATTATTATTTTTACAAAGGTTAATCAAATTCACTTGGTGTTGTTTTACATCTATCTTCCCATTGTTATCTAGGACTGCAGTTAATCAATCTCATGTTGGCGTATGTGCATCCTATTCAGATTGCCTTAATATAGCCTTAAGTCACAAGCTTTTTAAGCGAAGATGGATAGTGGCTGGCGGTGGAACCCAGTTTGACGCGCGTTTCGTCCCATTTGAGACTCGTCAGTTTGAAGTACCTGCATCCCAGAGTTAGTGTTGACAGTTTGGTATATCTGATTTTGACAGAATTATTGAAATATATCCTGTACATACTTGAATGAATAGGATATCAATTAAGGTGGTAGATATACACTATTGTGAAGTCCTAAACTATATTTAGACAACTATCTAATGTATTCTGGTTTTTACATAGTTGTTTTATTGATACTATTTCATGATGTATATTACTTTCAAATCTGTTTCAAATGTGTTTAATTAAATCAACTTTCATGAGGTTGTATTTTACACAAACATTGATTTACACAAGATAAATAGAAACATTTGATATGATTATTTAGAAAACAAGATTTTTGATATGACATATTTGAATGAAATGAATTACTCATATCATTTGTTATAATAGTAATAAGTATAATTAGTATTTATATTCGTCATGTAATGAATTGATGTAAACAAATGACTAGAAGAATCACTTTGTACTCGATATCTAATTTATTTTTGTCTTAAACATATGAACTATGGTTGATAATGATCTTATGGGTTAAGGAACTTAAAATCAAAAGGGTTAACTATGATTGAGTTATTGACAGAGCATAAAAGGCTGTATTTTCGACGATGATTTAAAATACACAGTTTACTAATGGAATACATTTAGTTACGTGGTATGGTATTCTATTGCAGTATCAGTACAGTGTTAGTTTTTAAAAGTTACGTTGTTATGTGCACAAAATTAATATGTCATTTATTAACAATAATCTTAAATATTTATAGTTCGTTACATTTAGAAAGAATAGAAATAAGTAAATGAATGACGTTGAAATTTTTAGTTTATAGATTTGTAATAACTACCAATTGACATGAATTCAAATAAATATTCCCTCCTTTAACAGTAAATTTGATTTACAAGAAGTAGAGAGAACCTGAAGACTGCGAAGCATAGATACTAACAACTAATAGAATATATTCAAGTTAACTGAAGGTTAGGTAAACTGTTTTTAATGATATTACAATCTTTATTATTATGACAATTTTGAAGATTATATCTTTCCATAGTATTACAGTTCTGCGTTGAACTTTTTAATTTACTAATGGTAATTGATAAACTGTGAAAGATGAATAGTTTAATTAGATATACCGAATACTAGATGGTGATCAATATCATAAAGTCTAATCTTAAATGGTATTTTAATCATATCTATCTAACCCATAATATTAATACTTGGTTGGGTAACTCTGATCTATATTGAATGATAAAAAATCACTGTTGATATGTGTATGGGGATAACTTTTCAATGAATAAACTATTTGATATACGAGAACATAGAGTAAATTATTATTGTTGAGCAAATCCAATTCAATGTGTCATGCTTATCAGATTCTTAAATATTTGTGTATTTTTAAAGGAATTGTGGATCAGTGTATATCAATAAGAAAAAAAGTTGGTCATTATTGAATTGAATTTATTCAGTCGTAAAGAATGGAATATGTATGTTATGTTAATGAAACAGCAATAACTACCTAATTTATATCGGTTTGTTAAAAACGTTTATAGCTCATTCAACAAAGTACTGACGGTCAGCCGGATGTATTTTTTTTTAAATCACCATATTTTATCGAACAAAGATAGTGAACACAAGTGAAGAATATTCAAGGCTTATGACTCGACAGTTCAATTGTCTTTAGTGAGATCACTGATTAACTAATTAATGTACGAAAAGAAGATTGTTAAACTAGGATTTAAATATATTCATCTACTTAACCACTTTTAGTTACACAGCGCTTGGTAGATTAAGAATACTTTTCAGATTATCGTGTTCTAGTTATACATCTTCTATGAACAGTTCTAAATTTTATTCAATCCATGAATTTAAAAATGACTACTATCACAATCTTGAGTCATTTAAAGAAATACTTGAAAAGAGAGAACATCATTATTTATTACCCCATCTCAGTAACATGATTTTCAGAATCAAAATCGTATACAATACTTTATTATAAATCAGTGTTATAGTTTTACAATTCCTTTCATTCCATCAATATTTTATGATTGTCTTACAATGATGATATTATGGTTTAAATAGATCTTAAAAGGTTAGTCTTTTCATTGAGTGGAATGTTACGTTAGATGCAAACACTGAACACTACATTTATTCTCTTATCAATTACAATAAAGAAGTCTGAAAATATGTTTGTCAACTAGTTAAATAACATCAATCTTCATTTTTTAAAATTTTAATTTACCTTTAAGCTGATTATTATAATTGTCATAAATAAAAATCAACTAACCTTTGTTTGATCTAATTCAGTTTTTATATGTTCACTTGGTAAAAACTCTATAGGGATCCATTTCAATGTTACAGATTCAGCACTTTTCACTTGAGCTACAGCATCATTTAGCAATGAATTAAAATTGGATAGACGCTAATTTTGTTTATTCAAAGTAGAAAAAGGTAAATTAAAAAAGGGAGGAAATTTATATCCCAGTGAATTATTTCAAATATATTTATATACTAAAAAGTAAAAAGAAAACATTTACCATGTAAAATATTAGAAAATGCATTTAGGTTTACTTGTACAATAGTGATTATGATAACCAATTCAATATTTGAACTAAGGTATGTTAATGTAATCTAAAATACTGATAACTATCAATAACCTAACAGTATATGACATTTTATGTATTTGTTCTGTAGACGGTTACTTTTCGAAAATAATTATTTTTGAATAGAGATTGTTTAAGAAATTGACTGGCTACAATAATATATATATATATATATATATATATATATATATATATAGCTAAAGGGTAGAAAGTACAATTTAACAATGTACTTTCAGATAAACTTTTACTTAGAACATTTGAATTTTTCTGCAGGATCAAACCATCCAGCTCAGAGAACGAAACTCTATCAAAATCATCCACCTGAGCTACAAATCTTCTCCATTATTTGAATTTTTTATATGTTCTAGTCTAATATTAGCTAGAATTTCATAGTTATGAAAAAAATACAAACTAAAAAGAAACAACTATGGAATAAAGTGAGATTTTGAATAAAACGTTTTGTACTTAAACCTCGTATACGAATTCTCAAAAGAACTTTACTTCACGGTTTTTTATACATATAGTTCCTTTTATCATTTTGAAAAGAGTAAGAACAAAGATTGTGACCCAATAGTATGAATTCATCTTATATCGTTGGTTCTCGTCAGCTGCTTACAACCTGTGATATTTAAAATCATAATTACATAATGAGTTTAAATTACTTACGTGACAGAGTTTGGTTGGAAGTTATATTGAAGACATATTAGTATAGTGTAGCAAGGGTGTACATAAATTTAACAGACTGAATATTGTAAATATATACCCTATGTAAAAGAATATTTTACAACGTTGATTGTGACAACAGTTCAAACGGCCAGAAACAAGTGAGGGTTATTAATCTTGCCTAGGTGACAAATAATCCTTCGTTGCATCTTAAACTTTTTTTAAAATCTTTCTCGCATTTATTACATCATTGACTTTTATTTCAACTAACTTCCAGACAAGCAATTTTATTTTATTAACTAAGCTTTACGCACTCTATTCCTATCAATGTTTACTCATTATGTAATCACTTGCTTCTAGCCGTTTGAACTGTTGTCACAATTAATGCTGTAAAATTTTCTTTTACATAAGTTATGTATTTACAATATTCAATCAAGTAAATTTATTTACACCCTTGCCATACTAATATCTCATCAACATAACTTCCAACTAAACGCTTCCATGTATGAAATTTAAACTCACTTTGTAATTATGATTTGTAAACATCACAGATTTTAAGTAGTTGACGAAAACCAACGAAATAAAATGAATTCATGCAATTCTATTAGAATCTTTAATCTTGCTCTTTTCACATTCTTTGTTTGTTTAATAAAAGTGGGTATTTAAAAAAATACCTTTCAAATTACACCATTGTTGAATTTGCTCAGTTCTTTTTATTTCAAACTTTTTTAGATAGAATTCAAAGATTCTAAATAATTTTCTTAAAATATTTATTGCCAACTACTTTTTTTACCATAGTTGGTTAAGCGCCTGGCGCGAGACTGATAGGTCCTGGGTTCGAATCTTGCGAGGCGGAATCGTGGATGCGCACTGCCGAGGAGTCCCATACTAGGACGAAACGGCCGTCCAGTGCTTCCAGGTTTTCCATGGTGGTCTAGCTTCAATTGACTCCTGATTTTAATCAAAAACATAATGTCAAAATAAAATCTATCTGTTCAAAGAATTTAGACTTGGAAATTTTAAATTCAAGGGCTTATTATAATTTTTTTTAATGTTTACTAAAATCAGTCGACCAAACAGTCTTATTTACTGTCATTGTCATAATGTCGTCTATACTTAACATGGATTAAACATAAATCCATTAGTTATACATAAAATCAATTCATGTTAGACAATAAGTTTTAATCCAAAACTAGACACCTTATCTAAGATCATATTTGACAAATCCAATTAATACATAATTAAAAATAATAATAATATGAAATTCATCTTAAACGTAACTTACCTCCCATATACCATCAAGTTGACATTTAAAATCTAACATATTATTATTTAAATTTAACCATTTTTTCTTTAAATGATATAAATGACGTGTTATACGACGATTAGTTCGTAAATTACAATCTTCTATATTATTTTTACATCCTGAATCAGATAAATCTGAATCAATTTCTGTTTCACGTTCATTTGAAACATTTAATTTATTTTGATTTATATTATCATGATGGCATAAAATTTCTTCAATTTGTAAACGATTTGTATTAAGTTCTTGAAATAAACCCTTTTTTAACAAAAAAGAAAAAAAGTAATCCTATATAATATTAAGTACATGAATAATCTGAGAAAGTTTTCGCATATACTATATCATTTAATGTACTAATACAAACTCCGATTCATTGGGTAATTACATAGCAACCGGATATTACATCATTTCTAATTTATAACTTCATATTATAATTCAATCCAAAAATATTTAGATTTTTCTAAGAATTAATAGAATCTTCAGACTTATGTGTTGATTGTTTATCACTTAATTATTATTGAAATTTACCATATAATACAATGATTTTAGTATTTAAAACAATTAGTCCCTTTGATAAATTTCGATAATGCAATGAGAAGACGAAGTTTATTAGAATTCATTAGCTTGAATATGAACTTAATACAAAATTTTGTGTTCTTCAACAAAAAATAATAATAAAACTTATTTCAATTAAAACAGACTATGTACAAGAAATCAGTAGTTTACTTTAAAATCAAAGAACCTAAATTGAAATGTTATTATTCGATGGAAAATAAATAAATAAGTATAGAACTTCAATGGTTAAGATCATGAGTCAGTCGAAGCTGGACCACCATGGAAAACCTGGGAGCACTGGACGGCCGTTTGTCCTTCTCAGTAGTGCGCATCCACGATTCCGCACCCCGCAAGATTCGAACCCAGGACATATCAGCCTCGCGCCAGGCGCTTAATCAACTAGACCACTGAGCCGGCATCCAAGGGTGGTAATGCCTGACTTCAACTAAAATATAGAACTCAATAAAAGGGACCATTTTTTAACACGTTGATTAACCTTAGTGCAGCAGTTCATGTTTTTTTTATTGAAATATTGAAATTAACTTAAGTACTTATTAAGTAAATGATTCATTTTTAAAATAGGTTTCTTATTAAGTTTGAAGGATTATTTAAAGAATGATAATATAATGAGTAAATATTGAGTTTGAGTTTACGATTTTTTATTTATTCATTAGAAATGTTACAAAAAAATTCATGCGTTAATTGAAGCTTGACCATCATCCTAGTATGGGACTCCTCAGAATTCAGGACCTATCGAACTCGCGTGCAAACGTTCAACATCTAGACCTCTGAGCCGGCATCCAACGGTGTTAATGTTCAACTTCAAGCAATCCACGAAATCGTTCAACGGTCCGCCATTGTCCTCAGTGATTTACTAACTCACAACAGACCTGGTTGAACTACACTGGTCACGGTTTCTCACTAGAATTCTAGGAAATACCTCATGGAGACCAACACCGGTGAGTATATAATCATTATAGTCAAAGAGGGGTTTTGTGGATATTATAATAATTTATTAGTTGAATTCATGAATGAATTGAAGCTAGACTACCATGGAAAACCCCTCTCCGATTAATAAATTAGTCAGGAAAACTGATAGATTTTACGTTGAATTTCTTATAAAATTACAATTAAGTGCATTGAAATGAAAAGCCTTATATAAAAATAAATAACTTTTCGTTAATTTAATCGTGTTTTATAAAGACAATCGATTATTCTATTTATTTAGTTTTGTATGCTCGAAATCTGTTCAGAGGCGTATGACACATAAAACTGATTGTATAAGTAATGTGTCTAGTGGATACATGAAATAAAGAGATGAAAATTTGTTTTACAAGTTTCAGGCTACACCAACCTTATTTCGGCTAAATTACTCCCAACGTGTGACAATATGGCTGATTTATCGCAGATATTATTGTTCAGAATTTGCTTTTAATTCATCAAAGGCTATATTTTTCACCTTCCATGTTTCATGTATGATAATTTTGAGTTCCAAGAATATAAGAGGATCTCTGAATAATAATCTTATTGAGTGAAGAAAGTGGCTTGATGTTATTATCGAAAGCTGTTGGCCATCCTAGCCTTAGAGTATTATTCAAATCTTTGTTCCTTTCACCGAAATGTCTGACTAATCTAAGTTTGACTGTTTTTCAATACGTTATCTTCATAAGACCTCACCAACGATTTATTTTTTTTATTATATTTCTCCAGGTTTTAATAAAAATTGTGATATCCGGTCATAAGTTCATCTACCTAGTTTCAGTAGAACATTTATCATGTTCATTGAATAAACCCAGTTTTTGATGCAACAAAATGTTTAAACCACTTGAATCATTAAAAATGTATGAACTAAATAAAATGACGGCATCTTCATTTAGTTTAATGACATAAGAGATTTCATTCGTTTATATATATGAACCAGAAAATTTAACAACCGAATATAATAACCAAAGAGAAAAGGAAAAATATTCAACACAATGAGAGTATATTCATTTCTATCCAGTATATATACTGTTTATTAGTTTTATGATGTTCACGTAAGCAGTGAAATATAGTATATTTTTTCCCGAAAAAGATGGACAAAACAAGTTATCTTAATATCTTTTATCGATTCATTGTCATATTTCCTACTGTTTACTTACACCTGTTAATCCTCGTGGAGGAGCATAGGCTACTACAATTCATATCAATAAAATCATTATTACTACGATAACCATTACTGCTACAACTACTAATAATACTACTACAAGGTTTATTTTCGTGACATTCGTTGCTAGTCTTATTAGTTCATAATTTACCAAAACAATCCAATTTTAAAAAATCTTTCTGTTCGATCAATCTTATTCACCATTGTTTTAATATGGTTTATGTTTTAAAATGAATAGTATATGCGTATGTAAAAAGACGATATGAAGGATACTGATGTACTGTTTTTTAGAAGTTAAATCTTTTTAACCAAACGTAACATAAATAAATGGGGGAAAGTCATTTGTCTAATATTTTTTCACAGTAATTTTCTAACTATTTACGGAGGGTAAAGAAATGTTTAAACACAAAGCACTAGATAAGTTTCGAGTAAAATGATCATCTTTGTTAGTTAATTTCTGAAAATATAACCATTTGAATTGTAGCTTAAACTAAGAAAACCATCTAAAATCATGAAATACTTGGTTTTGTTTTCGAATAGTTCAACACTCTTCAATACTGTGCACTTAAGATCACATTTGTAATTGAGCCTGAGATATGAAAGTTTCAGACCAAGCTGAATGTTACTGAACTATTAAGCCGGATTTTGATAATTCACATTTTAAACTTCAGTCAACTATTGATCCATTTATGACATAATGAGTACATTGTGATGACGATCGTTATCAACTACAAATTGATAACAGTTAATGTTGGACGATGTTCATAATACTCAAACATTTTTTATGTACTAGTATCAACCACTACAGTATCTAAATGTAGGAAACACTGAATAATGAAGTAATTGGAATCGAGTTTTACACTGATCCCAGATAATTAAAACAAGTGACATAAACTTAGTAATATATATATATATATATTAACGAACGTTAAAACTGCGGTAACCGTTCAATAAAACTAAAAATATTATCATGTACATTCTTTTGAAATAGCTTACCAATAACTTTTCTCTCAAGCTGATCACATTACCCATATCTCCTTGAATTGGTACAAGAATTTCATGAAATGCAGCATCTCTATGTGATAACCAATCATTTAATTTTTTTAATTTCGTTAAATATAAATGTGACTGGTTAGAATTCAACTGCATCGTTCGTCTGTGTGAAATAGATTGGGAAGAAATGAATGTGAGAGTTATTTAACGATTGCTTTTATTCATTAGAAATGAAGAAATTGAAGAAATAATTCCTCATTTAAGGTGTCATGACCACTGAATTGCTACAAGATTGATTCTTATAATCCTAGCAAAGAGCTATGACATACGAAGTCAATCATGTTCGAAGTAAGATTCCGATTCATCGATTAGATTGCTGAGTTATTTTTTAAATTTACTGACGTTGAGATATTGAATCATTAGATTCAACTTTTGCTTTAATAATCTTATGCATTCATAAACATTGAATGGTAAGTCTTGTGTATGATCGTTTGTACACAAGAGGTGAGAAAACCATAACTGTGTTGAAACACCTGTCCAGTTATTTTAAAACTGATATAAGTGAATTATGGAAATGGCCTTTTATATATACTTACATGTTATAGAATGTTCGTTGATAAGCTTATTATATTATCTCTGATCCATAATGAACTTAATTTCATTATGAATTGCACACTACTTCATTCTCAACACAAGGAAGAACTTATTCGATTTTCCATTATATGCAACAATGTTGTGTGACTATTGCTCAAACATTTTAAGTTATATAGTAATGATGTAAGAAAACAATAAAGTACCAATTAGATATTTAAACTGGTGATATGTTCATTAAAGTAAAATACTTTATCAAAGGAAAGACAATTTTCTTGGTAAACTAATATAACAGTAATGAATAAAATTGCCAAAATTATTGTCTGTCAACGCATTAAATGTGGTTACCTAATAAGGAAGTAAAGGTTTCTCCATAAATCTTAGAGTACCTATCATCGTTAGCAAAAATCGACTTTCTACATCTAAAACCGTACAGAATCATTGTACTAGATGTACAATAGCGTGGAAGTAACAGAAAGATAATGAAATCAGAAAATGTAAACGAAATAAGCTAATGAATCAAAGAAATACAGTGGAGACTGAAGAGCTATTTCACAACAGTTTAGAATTCCTTAACAGAACACAATCACAACCTAAAATACGATTCAACTCAGAATGATGGTAGTATTGACTTGTGAATTAAAAAAATTCATAATATCGATGACTGAATTTCCATTCAATGGTTTGAAAGCATCTTTATCACTGTATGACTTATCCAGCTCAGAGAACAAAACTCCATCAAAATCATCCACCTGAGCTACAAATCTTCTTCACCATCTTATAAGTTTTATCTTATATGACATCATCAACGCACACCGCTGACAAGTTCAAAACTGAAATAAAGAAGTGGTTCAGTATACTTCAAAGTTCAATATATCTCTTGTTTAAATCACTCAGTGACAATAAAATATCTTTAAACCAAATAAAATTTTTAAATATCATCCAAATAATAAATAAATTTTCAAAAATATATAACAGATTTTTTCCTAAAAAAATAATCAAATTTGAAAGTAAAGTCCAATATTCAAAAGAACAATGAGACTTGAATGTGCTCACGAACTAAAAATCTTTTATTTTTCAACTTTTGAAAAATGTAACAAAAAAACTAACTAAACGCAAGATTTATTTCGTTATACTTAAAATTTAGAAACAAACACTTTGTTTGTCTATGTGAATGTCTTTGCTCATCAGGATACGCTCTTAATACTACTCTTACTACTACTACTGCTACTACTAATACTGTGGTGCGTGCTACTTATATTCACATAAGTAGTATATAACACAAGTCAGGAATGTAATGTCTGGCAGCAGAAGAATGGGGAAGATCAAGTAAAGAAGAACGGGGATAGAAAGCAATTAGTATAGAAATGCAAGAACAATGAAGTTCGAAACAATTATTGAACATTTTCCAAATTAGGTATTATAGTATGGTTTTTCTATTTTACCAAGTAACTCTGTAATGTTGTGCTAAATATAATTCGGTTGTCCTAACTTGTGTTCTCCTTCACTACAATACTATTACTACTATTACTAGACTACTACTACTACTACTAATACTAATACTACTAATAATAATGATGTATATAGTTGATAACTAACCGTTTAATATCATTGTCTTATTGACATTTTAAGGATATATGTCACTGTTCTGCGTAGTTTGAATACAATGTTTATAAAGCATATATATATATATATATATATGCCACCTCGTCTTAGTAAAGTTATTTACAAAAATATTCGAAAATCAGTCAAGAAATTTCATTATCATAATTATATTTTCTGAGTGTTATCAAGTGTTAGCTCATATTGATGTGTATCGTTATAACAATTGTAAATCCATACATATAAACAGATATACAAGCAAACTTTAATACTTTTCTTGTCTAAATGCATTAAAACGCAAATTGTCAGTTCGACAGCAAAATAAATAGTGAGCATTGACAATAAATAAAGACATGAAGAATAATTAGAAATTCTTCTACAATCTTTTATTTACGGTTAGTTGATAAATTATAAAATAAAAGTAAGGTTAGAAAAGGAATGGATTTTTTATGTTAACAAATGATTACTACAAATCATATCAAGAATTTATTTGATCGTACGGATATCAATATCTTTACACTGGACCAGGTAATTCAGTATTACGGCCCACTTAGTTATTAATGTTGGGTAAATACAACATTGGATAGAATGTCCGTGTGCTTTATATGAGTTTTTTCCCTTCATTTCTGAAGGAATTCATACACTCGTGGGGTTAAGTCACGAATTAGGATGTCAGCCTCTTCCTAACAATGAAGTGATGATACTTCTGATTATAAAACCAGTGGATATGGATTCGAATCTAATGAACGGCATCTATCCCTTCAATATTGATGATATTGAATCCTGACGCGTATCAGCTAGAACGAGATCTATGCTTACGGATCCCCTGTTCTATATCTTCAATCACTTAAAAAATAATGGGTGAAGAAATATTAGGAGTATGTGAATATATGATCGTTGTTTTGCTATCGATAGTGTTGTTTAAAAGAATAATACAAGTCATCTTTGAATGAAGATCTAAGCTGTTCGATATTAGGGTCTGAATTTCACTTTTAATCCTATTTTTTATAGCAATTTGATAGCCTCCGTACGGTTTTAAAAAATAGGTGTGGCTACATATGGATTTTATATGATAACACCATTTATAACATAAAAATTAGGCTTTATTTTTAACTGGTTATGCATAAAAATATCGTTTATATAAGAAACTAACGAGTTTTCAATTGACACTATGATGTTTAAACAAACAAACTTTGAAATATTTATGAAACAATAGTTTGAAACTATTGAAAATTGAGTACTTGAGACATCATCATCTTAGTCAACACATAAAATACGACAAACCTTCCACATTGAACCGATTAAAACCCAATAGTACGACTGTTGTACTGTACTTCAGATTAGTATAAGTACAGAAGAAAAGGTTATTATTGAGTTAAAAGATGATACCAGTGCTATGAAGAAGTTTAGAAAAGTTGGAAAATTAATTTGAACAAGAGCATAAATATGTTGATGTGTGACATTTACCGAATTATCCTATGGAGACAGTATATCAAGCGGATGGTATGATTGGGTACAAAGTAATCAACAAACAGTTCGAAACTACATCGTTAAAATTGACTGAAACCCTTGCGATTAGAAGGCTTAAACATGAACTTTGTACTCGAAAGGTGTATGAAGTTATCCTTCGTTGTACTTGGTAACCAAAGTATTTAGACGTTTTTTCCCATTTTATCATTCAATTATTTATAATCATAACCTAGGGAGTAAGGATTACATCCACTTCATTGTTAAACGTCTTAGATTTCTTGTAAAATTATATAATGAGTTGTTCGCAAATATTCTAAATATCGTTGAAGTCAGAATTTACTTTGTATTGTTCGTTTGAATCTTTCCATTGATGTTTAGGATTTAAATTGATCAGTCACTTATCTGTACATGTGCATCCTGTAAGGACTGCATCGATACTGCCTTAAGTCATCAGCATTATCGGGACTCAGTAACTAAGTGAATAACATGGTGGTGTTTGACTCCAACTATACTGGGTTCAAATCCCAGAGTGAGGATCAACTCTGAGATGTAGGTACATCCAGTCGATGAGTGCTGAATAGGACGAAACGCGCGTCCTCAATTCTACTGCTAGCCACTATCCATCTTTACTTACAATGCTTGTGAATTGAGGCAATATCGAGGCAATACGCACAGTATGCACGTATGTCAATAAGAGACTAATCAATTTCAGTCCTAAACATCAATGGGAAGATTTAAGTAAACAGTACCAAGTGAATTTATGCATCACACTGTTTTAATAATGCTGTCATTTACGTAACTGAGTGCTCAAACCATCAGGTGAATAGATTTTAACATTACTATAATGGCTGTCTTCGAACTTTGAGGATTTTTGAGGTTCGGGCAATAAGTCATTATTTATTTGACAATTCATATTAATAACATACAACTTTTCCAATTTATAGATTTGAATAAACAAAGAACAAATGTCGTGGCAGAAAAATATGAACTCATTTATTTCGTGGATCCTCCTCAGCTGCTTACAATCTGAAACCACAGTACTAACCATTAAAACGAAATACATGTACATAATTTATATCAGTGGAGTTGGAAAACCCTGATTCCCAACCAATGATGCACATGGGTTCAAGGATCCTGAAGGAACAAATGGTGTATGAATCTATTGTTGATCACCGGCTACCATGGTACTGCATCTCCTAACGTTGCTTTCTGTCTTGTTGATTAGACCTTTAGGTGAAAGACTCGGGATACGGTCCCTTAAGAAAACCACCTTCTTCGGTTTAGGCGCTCAGGCAGTTTGACAGCCCTCACACAAATTAATGATAACTACTACTGGCCTCACTGTTATTGTATAGCGCATATGTACTCGATACCACCCTGACCCTAGCTGCTACCTTGACGTGGTGATCCTCCTTGCCTATCGCGATGACCCAACCGAGCTATATTGTCTGGAACATATGTTCCTGCAGGTTCTATCATGCCAGGCAGGTTGATTGAAGAACGGTAAGAATAAAAGTAGCAACACAAGGTCTGAGGGCGAAGTTATACTGCTGACTGTAGAGGGGTGTGACAGCAGTAAGGTGTTTACCTCGGGCAACCAGCATCTGCAGCGATGCTGCCTTCTCACAAGGAAGGAAGGGGTTCGGAAAGATAGGTCCTAAAAATGTCACGCCTAACTTTACCTCACGGATTTCCGTCTCTGACGGTAAGGCCCTTGGAAAAACGGGGCTAACATGTCAAAAATGTCCCACAAAAATGCCAAGCGCGACCGGCCTCAAGCGGTTGTCCCTTTGGCTCTGCGGTCATGCTTCCAGGTCGTTGAGACCAACAGTAATCCAACTTCCTTTTCAGGCTCCTCGAGAGACTCCCTTCCACGGTGTGGGCAGACGAGAAGCCGATCCCGCTGCTAAAACTGGACCACCATTCTTAAAAATCTCAGGATTAAACGTGTCAGGGCCTGCTGCACTCCCATGCTTCTATGACTTTTACAACCTCGTAAAGAGTTGGAGGACCTACATTAACTTGCCATTTAGGTCATCTGGAGATCGTGGGCAACCGAAGTGTGACTGAAAGCCAGTTGAACTGATCCATAAAGTGCTCTGCCCATCGATCCAATCTTCTGGATTGAGAATGAATAATGTATCCATCTTTTTCCGTGATAATTTCGCTAACAACCGGGATCCGCGAGATGATAGCAACCGATGGTTAGAGACATTGAATAAGATGGTTCAAAATCGTTTGCAATGACGCAGGTGCATCCACTCTGTGTTGTCCCAAATTCTAATCTTCTGAATTCCTTGTGTCCTTTTTTTCTTTTTCCAAATTTATTTCACTGGATCATACTCGTAGAACAACATCTTCAAACCCTAATTTTTCTGACTACTGCTATGGGATTTGAAAAGACAACTGCATCTCTATGCTAATGTGGTATGGCAACACGAACAGATGTACGTACGAACAAAGTTCTATGTTTTTACTGACTGACTGACTTCATACCCCTTTGTATCAATGATTATGTTTTCAAATAAATGAATAAATGGCAACAGATGTGCTATGATAATTAAAGGTTACTGAATTGATTCATCAAATACACGTCAATTAAAGATAATTCTATAGATGTTATTACATGATTATTGAAAACATCCTATAAGTCAATAAGATGTTTAAAAAAATATTGGCTACCTTACAAAAAATAAACAAATTATTAGTTATTATCTGAATTCTTTTCACCATAAACTTACCGTAAATTAGCAATTTTATCTCTTAACTGACGCAAACGTCTGAAAAATTCTTGATTAGGCAAAACATTTAATGCTTGCGCTGAAGATTTTGCACTACTGGCTATTTGTGTAGCGATCATATTAATTTCTGCTTGTAGTGTCTTTAAAACAAAAAAAATGAGGAAAATTAATAAACGAATGTAAAAAAAATTATGACATCAAAGAAATTTATTTGTTAGGTATAATGCAATAGAATATGTAACTAAGTATTTGATGGTAGTTTCTCTGATTCACCTTGTATAGGGCATAGTAACCCGATCTACATGTATTTTTTAGAGCATCACTCATAACTATTATGTTACTTAAAACGTCGAACTACTGTTCTTTTTAAGCTAACGAATCGTTTTTAATCGAGCATCAACATTAAGTTCTAGATATACGCATCTCATGAGCCTAAATCACAACAAATCATGAAACCTAGGATACTACTGTTAGCTAAAATCTGTATATTGATTGTTTGTCACCTATTATAGGTAACTGATGTTCCTTTTTTGTTTTAATGATATGAAATTATTTAAATTCAGATCATTATCAAAATACAAGTTAGATAATATTTCATCACGTATCAATTCACATTGTTTACTGTTCAACACTGTGTATTTACAATTTTATTGTTGATTTAGTAACTCAAAATAGATTTGATCAAACACAGGATCATGTTGAATCATGACAATCTGATATTTCAGTAAACTTTTTAAAAAAAATTCTAGAATTAACATCTGGAAGTTTTATTTCATTTCGGACCATACGTTGCTATAAGATAATGAAGCATATGGATTAGATCTAAAATTTAATTTGATTTCTCTATTTAGTTAGTAAAATTCACATAGTGACAAATTTTCAAAAATCTTCAAGTTACTAAAATAATTTAATCAAAGTTTATATAGCGCATTATTTAAATGTTTTCATTTGGTAGAACTTATATTGATTGAGATCATGAATCGATCAACGTTAAACCACCACTGAAGACTTGGAAGCACGGCCGTTTCGTCCTAGTACGGGACTTTTCACTGGTGTGCATCCACAATCCCACTCAATAGTAACTAGCTTCGATAGGCGATTGTCGTAGTTCTAATGAGAAGCCATGACCAGTGGACCAAATCCATGTCGGGTGTGAAACAGTTACCTGCTGAGGACAATGAGAGATGGTAGCTCAATTTAATGGATTGGTTAAAGTTTGACATTGACATAGTTAAATGTCTGCTCAGTGATCTAGGGTTTAGGTGTTCGTGCACGAGATCGGATGTCCTGGGTTCGAGTGCCATGTGTAAGATCGTGGACGCACGCTGCTGACTCTCGTACTAGGACGAAACTACCGTTCATTGTTTCCAGGTTTCCAATGATGAATAAACATTGATCGATGCATGATCTCAATCAAAAACAACAATCTCCACAACCCCATACTGAGAACTTATTCTATCAAACAAAGATCAATAAAAGAAAGTGTGATTGAGTTTGATGTAGAAAAATATGATTAGGGATAGGAAATAGTCATAATTATGTGGATCGTCTGTTTGTTAAGAACTAGGCCATATTGATTTTTAATAGTATGAGATTTATCTATAGATACCTATTGATTTCAGTAACCTAAATAATACACTATCATTCCTTCTTACTTAGTCTTACTGTTAGTGATAAATAAAATTGTATATTGTATAATATGACATCAATTAAATCAATGTAATACAGTTATTCTCTTGTGCATTTGTTAGGTTATGCAATAATCAATCGCTAGCGTCATTTGCATTCCATCTTAGGAGTTAGTTTTCATAGCATACATTCAAGTATGCAACGAATTAGATAGTAATACTGAAAGCGTAAAGAAGAGCGTTTTATAATTTCATAAAGTAAAAATACTTCATTATTTTAGTACGATTTTAGGAGATAAAGTCATTAAAGTGTTTATTTAAAACTACCAAAAAGAATGAAAGGAACAAATTAACTTCCTAACTTGAGATTTCCGTCTTTGATAATGACTCTTATTCAATTTATGCAAACTTATCAATTCAGCTGCAAGGAGATGAGTTTCTTTTCTCATAACAAGTGAATGCGAATCAAGCTGATTTTCTAAACAACAGATTTCATAACGAACTATTTTCTCCATACTAGAAAGTTATAAATAAATAATTCACATAAATTAGGAATTGTATATAGAATCGTATCAAGCTCAGAAGGGCTACGAAACAATCAAGTAATCACTTGATGACAGATATTTTCTAACATCACCGATACTGTTTATTATTACCGTGACTGCTTAAACAGAAGGAATTGATACTTGTCATTAGTTAAGACGGCTGACGGTCACATAAAATGAATTTCCTGTAGTTAGAAACTTTTGGTTAGTTGTAGACCAGCTGACTAAAAATTGTATTGATTGACAACCTGAAAGTTTCTAACGGAAATCAACATGTGATAAAGAATAAACATTATTAGAAAGTCTCACTCTACAAGAAATAGATATCTACTACTGTTTGCTTTTCACATATGCCACAATGCTGTAGAATTGAATTTCAATTCCTTTCAGAAGTATACATTTCAAAGACAGATGAAGTTAGCAAATCTAATAAATGCTTTATGCATTGATTGACTTAGTCACGACAACTGCGGAGACTCATTAGATTGGAAAAATGTGGAAATCTTAGACAGAGGAAACTCCAAAAACACCAGAGAATTTTTAGAAGCCTGGCATTTAGGTCAATCAGCAATCAACAAGCATACTGAAATCAATCCAATTTACCAACCAATCAGAAAAATCATGCACAAACATAGGAACAAAAATCAAACCAATGGGAGACACAACCAAAACAAAGGAGTAAACAATGACAAATTTAAGGTCAATGAGAACCAATCAACATCGAGGTGCATAGAACAAGCTGTGAAACACATATGGAGAAATCCGAACACTTCACTTCTATCTGAAGTTTGTTCTGATGATGTTGTTCAGAAGAACGATGAAAGCTCCACGACCAAACCATCCAGCTCAGAGAACAAAACTCCACCAAAATCATCCACCTGAGCTACAAATCTTCTCCACCATTTCAATAATTTAATATCCATCAGTTAGAAAAACAAGAAGCAAAAACCAAACAACTCAAAAAGAATGGCGAACGTTTGCATTTATCACCAATTCAACTGCTCCTATGGAGCTAGTTATATAGGCCGTACTCAAAGGGTTTTATCCTTGTGTGTTTGTAAACATGTGCCAGCATGATTGAGGAAAGGAGTTACTACAATACTCCTCTTTCTCATTTGGTAGATAGTGAACACCATACTAAAACAGTGGAAGCTTTCTCTACTTCATATCAAGTTCCAAAGAATCTACCCCGGTGATTTAGATCACGGCTACTCTACATAGCCGAAGCCATCTGGATCAACTCCAGAAAACCGAAATTATACATCCACAAAAGGTATATCTAGCCTCTATGTTTACCTTAGCCTACGACTGCATCACCGGATACCTAAACTGAATATTATAAACCTCTGATATCCCCTCCCAATCCCTTTCGCGTTTATATCTCTCCTATTCTTCACATCCATCTTTCTCAATTCGTATGAATTCCTTTTTAATCGTAATTACCTTGATAGCACCCCTCTTATTACATAATATATTCACACAACGATATTATTATTATTATTATTATTATCATCGTTACCTCTATTAACAAGATGAAATTCTCCTACTATGCATTTTATTGACACGATATTCTTTCTTGTTACTATTATATTGATTGTGACTTGACACTAGTCTAAATTGTTCTGACCTTTATTGAATGACCTTTCAAAAGTATTTATGTCGTAACAGATGCAAACATCCACTATTTTTAGCATATCACATTGTCAAATTCATTAATACATGCCTTATTTTAACCTTTGTAAAATATCATAATTATGGAGCCTGATGATGAAGTGATTGAAAACAAACGTCCGTTCAAATATTCTCCATTTTTGAAAATTCTATGAGAATTTTTAAACAGTTTTAAGAAAATATGGTGAGATCAACAAACTGAGTTTGATAATTAGTTGAAGATGATAATGATGGTAAGACCACGTCGGATAAAATGGTTTAAGATTATAAATAAAAACGTAAGAATAACATCAGACTGTCATGAAATTTATGAATGATCCTTAAACATTTAGTGTACTTTTTTTTTAAAAAAGTCACATAAATTTAGATCGAATATCAGGAACAGTCATTTGGTACGTACTCATTAAGCTGATAAACTAACTTGAAATATTCCGTAATTACTTTATAGTGTTAAAATTTTACTATTTTATACAATTAAGTATTGGTAATCGTAGAAAAAGAAGTATAAAACAAACGATTTTTTGATATACTTTGATGAGTTTTACTAATATTCCTCTCTTAAAAATAGAAGTACTTGACACCAATAGAATGAATTCCATACGGAACTACAAATGCAGTGATCCGAAAACAAACCTATTCAATTAACAAGCAATTTGTAGTGGTTTATTTTAAACTTTAAAAAAGTCTGTATCATAGTTTGACATCGGTTTGTTTACTGATATAAATCACTAGGTACTGGATAGTTGTTTTATCGTCATTTAGGATGATTCGATGGTGCACACCTACAAAGGTAAATGAGATCAATACGTAGTTCTTCATTTCTACAGATCTCTTTGAATTGTTCAAATAAAATTTATGTGTTTTAAATGGCCTTATTTGATCAGTTACGGAAACTTTGTGACTATCATTTAAATCAATTATAGGAGTACTCATCAAAATTAGAACGATCAGTCTGACATAGATTGGACTTCAAACATACATTTCTTGAAGGAAATTCATATCAGTTTGACTGGTGAAACATCCGAATTATTTAAATTTCAATCAGTACGCTTATTTCGAATAAAATTTTTTACATATAATGGTATCATTTAATTTTCAGACAAATAGTTGACAAAAATTTAAAGTAATATTTAGTTTAAAACCTTGAAACTAAATCAATGAATAAATTTTATCAAGTTCTGAGTTATTGTTTAGTGTTTTAACTTATAAAACGGAGTCCCGCAGTAAACATCAACTATGGCATGCAGATACATCCAGTTAATGAGTTCCGAATAGTACGAAATGCGCGTCCTCAATTCCACTGCTATCCACCATCCATTTTTATTGATAATGCTTGTGACTTAAAGCAATCTCGAGGTAATCTGTACAGAATGCATATATGCTGATAAAAGACTAATCAATTTCAATCTTAAACATCAATGGAAAGATTCAAACAAACGATAGAAAATGAATGAAACGATATTATGTTTTAAATTTAAGATTTGAACAAAAATCACATTGAACTTTCTTGTTATTCAATATCGGAAGAGGATTAGCTTAAAACTGATATATAATGAATCACATATTGATTTCTGATAACTAAACTGCTTCTTTTTTATTCTTCTTATATTATTATTCTAACCTGTATAAAAAACATTTTAGTATTAAATTATTTTCTTAGTAGATATATATATTGCATACAATGATTGAATTATATAATACAATATAAATAGATGATACAATAAAATAGAATAAATACTTGTGATTCTGTAACAAGATGTGCTCTCTTTTCAATTAATAATTGATTATCCATATTTGAACCAGATTGATTTAATTCTGCTTCAAGTTTGGATATTTGATTAAATTTATTCTCTATCATTTCTAATTGTTCATTTAATGTTGGTTTACGTATACCATCTGAACTGGATGTTCTTCGATCTTTTAATTTAGTTTGTTGTTCTTTAAAATGATCATATACTTGTGGTAATGCTTCATGAAGATAGAGAGTTTTAGTTTTTTTAATTCTATTTTTTTAAAGAAAATATTCAAAAGATAACTGGTTAAGATAATTGTTTAAAAATGAGTTTTTGTATTACACAATATATGAAGTGTAATAACGATTTGATTTTTAACACAATTAAGATTCTGTTATGTCCCGATAAGCATAATGAATGGTAACTTTTGGGATCCATTTGTGGGTCAATACTATGCGTACATTTTATCGTATAATTGTTAAATAACTAAACTGTTCATATTCGTGTCCGTCTTATTATGAGCTTTATTTTGACCTATGAATTATTATTATACGATTTGTCATTCTTGAATTATGCTTTGTCTATTAATTACTACCTCCCACATTCACAGCCATATTTGGCTAATTCTTGTACAAATGTTGTTTCATATTTTATGGTACGATGTAGTCTGTCTGGTTGGTATATAAACCAAGTGTGTTTGAAATACATGATTCATGTTGCAGAGGCTGAGATTTGTGTTCCGGACTTAACTGGTTTGGCTAGGCAGGAAGCAGGACGGTTAAGTACTATAGACTGCTTGTACGTGTTTTATGCGTCATTGGTTCGATCGATAATTCACTGCTCTCTAATTGGCGGTGTCATTACATATACATTAACAGGATACACAGGCCACAAGTTATAACAGATTCAACTGCCGTTAAAAATTAGTCTACATGAGTTTGAACTCTATCATGTGATTGTCCATTGTATTTAATTCATTTTACTGTACATAATTTTGTTTAATAGTTGATTACGTTGACTAGCTTAATAATGAATTAGTCAGTTATGATGGATGTGGAATAATTAAATGTTAGTTTTATATAGAAAATATGTATTTGTATCACTACGACTAATTTTGTGTTTTTTTTAAAGCAATCTAAAATATATTTCAAAACTATAGGGAAACGTTTTTTTTTACAGTATATTTGAATTATCATTCATATTATCTAGAGTTCTTAACTGTATACATCAGTGATGTATACTGTCTGACTACAATATTCCTATTTTTAATTAATTACGTGAGTTTAGAAAGAGATTAAGGTTGTGTACAAAATCGTAGGATCTATAATTGGACAGGTTTAATAGATGGAATTTTATAATTTTCAAATAAATATAGTTTTCTAATTTTTTTTCAATCAAAACAAAACAATATTGAATATTTAATGGATACCGTCGTAAGTAATTATCAATTTAATGCAATTTAGTAAGCTTTAAACGTAAAAAATCATTTAGTGATAAATAAGGTTGCATTAATTTACAACAAGACTACTCAAAATTATCGACTAGTAATTATATATTTATATATATGATGATATTAAGTTCAACTTATGATTAATATTGAAATGGATTTCTTAAAGTTTCAAGAAAAATCCACAGTTGTGGAATTCAATTAAAACGGTAGTGAGATAGTAGTTCACTGACAGGGTTAAATTTGGATGATGATATGTATCAAAATATGAACAACTGAATGCTAGTATTATACTTTCCACATAGTTTGAAGATTTTGAATTAGATCTTCTGTAAATTCATGAACGCTCAACACTACCGAGTAGTTTCGGACTAAAATAAAACAGATTTCTAGTGTTCCATACATTACTAAACTGTTTTATTTCATATGTGCGTTCATGATAAAAATCATCTTCAACCAATAGATTTTAAGACACAATGAACAAAAGTGAACACAGGTTAATCAACAATATGCTAAGTTTAACTGAACCCCCCTCCTAATACTAAACATTACTACATAGTATGCATTGAAGCAGCTATACAAGTTGACAGAAACTCAGGATATCTATTTTATAATTATTTTCCAATTGAATTAAATGACCACATCACATACGAGTCCCGTTTGCATATATATATATATATCCCATGATAATTATTTCAATATCATTAATAATACTAATTTGGCTTTTAGCAATGTTTGTTAGTCTAAAAAAAGAGAGACAAGATTAACTTGTTCCATAGTGAGTAAGAAACGTACTATCATGCAACTATTCTTGAAAAAAAGAAACAGAAACCTAATTTAGGTCATATGAATTCATTAATTTTTCTATTCATAAGTTCTATTATATTATCAAAAGATGAATTAATGCATGATATTACTAAGGTGGTTATTGTCATTACATTGGTAAAAAACTAAGCAATACATATATATATATCTCACATTTGGGGAATTATAGAAATAATCCCAAAGTGAATATTTAAACAAATAAAAGAATAGGAGAAAAAGTACACATTCGCTTTCAATGTACACAATTGAAATCTAATAATAATAATAATAATAATAATAATAATAATAATAATAATAATAATAATAATAATAATAATAATAAAACTAACTAATCAGTTCAATATTAACAATCAAACTTTTTACTATCATAATTACAAGTTTTATGAAATAGGAATTTCCTTAAACGAAAAGTATAAGCAAAATTAAAGTAAGTCTTATCTATGAAAATTACCTATTCGGTACATTAATGTTGCTATTAGTAGTACTATATTAAATTCATATTTATTTTCAGAGGTTTTATGGAGATTATAGTAGTTTCAATAGTTGAGATCATGAGTCAGTCGAAACTAGGCCACCATGGAAAACCTGGAAGCACTGGACGGCCATTTCGTCCCATTGTAGGACTCTTCATCAGTGCGCATACACGATCCCACCTCACAGGATTCGACTCCAGGACCAGTGGGGTTCAACTGGGTCAGTTGTGAGATAGTAACTCACTGAGGACAATGGCGAATGTGTCGCTCATGGATTAGTTGAAGTTAGGCATTAACCACTTTGGATGCCGGCTCAGTTGTTATATTTATTTATTGATAATTGTTGTTGATTACTTTCATTTTAAAATATAATTGTATCTCATAAGATCAGTGAGTTAAGGATTCATTGTTGTCCTTGTTGTTTTTCTCTTCCAGATTACCATATGTACTTTTCTATTAACTTTACTCATGCCTTATGATGATTTTATGTTAAAAGTAATCATACTAACGACTAGACGATATATGTATATGCTATTTTGAGACTAGTTTTGATTAAATTAATGTGTTAAAAACCTATTTTTATTTTATCTGGTAGTATGTAAGTATCTTTAGTTAGTTTAATCTTCTCGCTCGAGACCTAATTAACAGACTCTTCATTGTCAAGCAAAAGGTTTATATTAATGTGATCTTATATTAGACCCATGTTAACCTATAATTAAACTGACGAACAAAAAGAAATTCTAGTTCAATTATTTATATCAATCAGCTTCTATACAGTTTCATTTACTAGTATCTACTCATGTAAACTCATTTATATAATACAAACTTTTCATTATGAGATCACTTACGATTTTTCTAATTCATTCCAACGTTTTATTGTTTGTTCCATGTCAGCACGTATCCGACTAGTATCCTCTGTAGGGAACTGTTTAATTAATGCTTCACATTCTTTTTGATATAATTTAATCTTAGCACATCTTTGTGGCAAACTGTCGATCAGTTCCTGGATTAATTAAATAATATATGGTGTAAAAATGTAATGACTATTAGAATATTGATATTTGAATGTAACACTCGAGTGAAATTAACAATTTAAAGACATATTACTTCGGTGTCATATGAAAACCGTTAACCCTCTTCATCACCTACTGATAGCAGCTGGAGAATTATTTCGAGAAAAACCAGAAAATGTACTGTAAATCCATAATGTACTAATGTAAAAGAAAGCAATAGGCAGAAAGTTTGCAAATCTTGTGTTATAAAGTATTAACATATTGCATATATACATAGATTTCAATCGTCCATTTTGATTTTTCAGTATGTCCTGCCATTCAAACTGTCTTGTCATCCTACCTTCAAGTATTCTGTCGATACCGTGCTTTTGCTGCATTGAAACTCTTCACTACATCCGACAACTTTGAGGTCACGTTTCGCAACAGGCTACTTACAACTAATCTTCTGAATAGCATTCATTACATTAAGAGTGTGTAAATAAACATATCAATAATCACAAAACTCCACTTATTGCTAGAAAACCTTAAAATGATTTTAAAAAATCTGTCCAATCAACGATGTGGTATATTTTTCATCAGTAAATATACATAAATATATTCATGATAATAAAATATTCATCATGTACGTTATGGGATAATACTAAACAGTATTCGTAGAACTAATAAACTATTCATATATTTCATCTTGTGATTAAGAGATATTTCTCCAAATTACATAGGTTTCATTCAAATGATTTACATGATTGAATGTTCACGTAATTTGATTTTTACTTTCAAATAGTCTTTTGTATCAAATACATATAGCCGAATAAGTGACAAATGAAACTAATTTTTTACGGATATAAAAATTAATTGTGATTGAAAAGAAAAGGAAAAATCAAAGTAACAAACTTCCGACTACTGATGGGTTTAAAATCAACAAAAAATATGTGCATTGAGAGTAATTCGTAAGTAAATTAATATAAACATAAAATAACTCAACACAAAATGTGACGGCGAGACTCTAATTTATGGACGACCTTTGAACAAATCTTAGGTGAGCTTAACTAATATTAGCCACTCAATAAACAGTAAATATAGAGTAAAAAGATGTTATAAAAAACCAAGGAAATAAAGTGGATACACTTCTTATACGTGATTCAGAAACTTGTCAAGGTTAGAAAGAGGTTCAGAGGTTCTAAACTCGTAATGCATGCAGTAGAAGAAGTCATCCATATGGCTACAGAATAGTCAGCCTCCGGAGCCATGATAAAGTCTCAAGAACTCTTTCAGTCTCGACCACACAGCTTCAATACTGTTTATGTGCACTCCGGTTGTTGAGTGCACAAAATGCTGCTTGTGGATAACGACACGATGCACATAACCAAGCCTGTGTAGGAGTGTGTACGCTCTCAAAACATCCGTATATATTGTAGTACTTAGCTGCAGCCAGTGTGACTGATGCTTTTGTTATCCAGTTCGCGATAATTGTCGTAATTCGCCTTAATTAGGAATTATATATAGGGTTTTCATCACGAACTGACATCAGCTATAATGCCAGAAATTTGTTTAGCCAAATGGATGAAAGACTTTTGTGCCAAAATCCGAGATCTATTATCTTATACCTGATTGATTCGTTCACAAATTATGGTCTCGCCGTTTTGTTTGTTATAGTCACTCAATTATCACGTTTTGTACAAAATTCCGTGTGATCCGAACGTACGTTAGCATTAAGTACTGAAGTTGGCGCCGTAACCTTGAAATTTCTCAAACGCTTCTGATTGGGTCGTCCATAAATTAGAGTCTTGCCAATGTGACAATTTACAATAGAATCAATAGAATTTCATATGTATTCTTTAAAAAAATGTTATCAAAATACTTTACAGCGGAAAATTGATTTTATTTCATATGTTTGAAGATATGAAAACTTTTATGAATAGTAACTGTTAAGAATAAATAAAATCAAAAATCAGAACTATCCATATAATCAGGTTTATAGCATTAATACGAAATCAACTACAAAATACTGAGAAGAAAAATTCCGTAATATTGTTATAGGGGATTGTTGAACTTCACTGTTCACATTATGAACACTCACTAAGAAGGACTTGACGTACGTGATAATGGTCACTACTCAGTGATCGATCAATTGTAAATACATCGCAGTCTTACAAGAGGTCCAGCTACTCCTTAGATAGGTCTAATCTTAATTACGCAATCACTGAAAACCTAGCAGCATCAAATAACTGTTTTATCCTAGTATGAGGTTCTTCATTAGTACACATCCGTGATTACACCAGAACTAAACTAAACATATTTCGACCTAGCAGTTAAAGCTTAAACAGTTCGTATAGAACTTACTTCAATTAGTTAATCTGTCCAACACTTTCCAGCTTTCAATTTCTGTATAATATCAGTCAGTGATGTGAATCATAAAAATCCATAATAGTATTTCTTTCTATGTATTATTCTTTTCTCTGAACATATACTCACTTATTATTTAACTGAAAACCATAATAACTACTTTAAACTAATAGGAAATAATGAAGGGATATTCATTGATTTGTGACCTTGATTTTGATGCTTGAATACTCATTTTGTTGTTGTTGTTGTTATCAATCAAGTAGCTTGATTAAATAATATTATATGTAAATGGTAACACTGATTTTCTTTAAATATTCAGTCAATCAGATAGTGGTTCTATCTTCTAAAGTTTGTTTATTTAAGAGTTCAATTATCAATTCTTTTCAAATTTGATCATTTTTATTATATCAATCACTTCAGTATTTTATTAATCAGTTATTCTATCACTCTATGCTTTATGAAAGATTTAAATAAGATAAATATGTTTTTCTTTTTACATTTCTAACACTTATAAACTCTTTGATAATGAACTTCTCTTATTAGTTTTAAGAAAACTAAAAATTAGATATTTACTGAATTACAATTAAGCATATGTTTATCTTTAAAATATGTTAGAAAATAGGGCAAATTTTTGTTAATGTTAGCAGAAAAAAACAAAACAAACAAGGACATGGAATGATGTATAGATAAGAAAAGATCGAATCATTTTCATACTTTTTAGTGTTTCTAATTTTTTTATTCTATCTATTAACTGAATAAATAATGTTGATGAAAGAGACATGCTACTATTATATAAGATAATTTGACTAGTTTAATGCAACTTGGCTATAAATTATAAATCGTTGTATTCGGTATAAAACACTGCTTTCAATGTGAGAGATTTATTTGATTCTAAGTGATCAAACATAATCAACTGAAATATTTTTCCTAATGTAGCCTTTGAAAAATTAGAATTTACATCACTCAGTGTAACCGTTACATAATTTATCATTCAACTATTCTAGCATTAAATGTTTTCTGAAGAGATCTTGGTCTCCAAAACAATTGTTCTCAGTTCAAGTATTCGATGATGGCAACTATGAGATGAATAAGTTCAAACTCACTCGAGCATCGTCACTTACTCCAAGATTGAAACTAGACAGTTCTGACGAAATCTAGGTTCATAATTTATTTTTGACTGTTTCTAATCACATGATATCAATTTTTTTGCAACATTAAGTCATTTGGACTGGCGGATAGCATTGAAATTTCATCGATAATTTATTCAATATCAAGGAATAAATAACATGTCATGAACTATCATTCAGTAATTAAACATACTATCTGACTGAAGACGGAGTTCATCCAAAAAGTTTATCAGCACAACTCCGTTTTCTCAGTGTTCTATCAGAATTTATAAAAAGGGACTGATTACTTTAAGTACCTGACTGAAGTGAGTTAATTATAGTTCTAAACCAATAACCTAATTAGTGAAATTATAAAAATTACATCCATAAAGAATAAATTACATCGAATATGTAAATTATGATAAAGCAACATACTTGTAAATGTTTACGACATGTTTCTGGAGTCATAACAAGAATTCTAGAAGTCGATAAACTTTGATCATTCGATTGATTCTTTGATGTATCAATACTTTGTAAATCAGCTTCTGTTTTGCTAATTTCTCGTTCAACATCACGTTCTAATTCTTTTAAAGTTTGTATACCAGATAACATTTGATCTAATTTTTCTGAACGTTCGATCATTTGTTGTTCAACTGAATCCCATTGATTTTGTAGTTGATCAACTTTAAAGTTAAACAAAAAATGAAAATTTAAATGATCATAGACTCTTGAAGGCGTATTTGAAGGTATAAGAATATTTAATACATTTTAATTCAGTAACATATGTTCAATTATTTTCTTTAATAATTCCATTCATTTAAGCTTCAATAGAAAACGTTTACAAAACAACATCTACCATAAAATTAGTCTAAACAATTGACAATGTAAATCAATTCAAAACATCACTCCAAGAAACCAAAATCAATAATCCACAATTTAACACTTTAACTCTTTACTATTTGAATGATTTATGTATTCATATTTGTTTGGTAAACAATAACTTTCGAATTTCAATGGTTAAGATCATGAGTCAATTGAAGCTAGACTACCATGGAAAATCTAGAACCACTGGACAGTCATTTCATCCAATGTAGGACCCCGTAGCATTGAGTGTCCAAGATCCCACCTCGCGAGATTAGAACTCAGGACCTATCAGTCTCGCACGCGAGTGCTTAACCTCTAGACCATTTGGCCGACATCTAACGATATTAATGTCTAACTTTTGATATTAATATATATCTCATAGAAATGTGGTTTAATTTGGCATGAACACTAATCTTAGATAATATATAAATAAAATGCCAATTTTTCTATCTCAAACTATTAAATATAATAAATACAACTAGATTATTTTATCACGATGAATAATTTGAATTGAAGCCGAATATGATTTCAAAGAATAAACTATAAATTAATTTAATGATATAAATGAAACATTTTTGATGGAAAAAACAAGCCAATAAAAGAAAGATTGAAATTATGTTATACTTGGAAAAAAAAAAGGAAATGAATATCTTTCTCAACCTTTCTGGTATTCATTAATAATGAAAAAACAATCAATTATTTAAATCTTTTCAAGTTATATCTAATTATAACTTTTTTATTACTAAGGAAATCAAGCACTTAAATAAAATAAACTGAAATTAGGTTATATAATAATTACAACAGAGTAAAAATTTATAGTTTTTGATTGAGATCATGAACCGATTGATGTTAGACCACCATTGAAAACCTGGAAGCACTGGACGGCCGTTTCATCCTATTGTGGAACTCCTCAGCAGTGCGCATCCACGATCCCGCCCACGGGATTCGAACTCAGGGCCTTCAGTCCACACCATTGGATGCCGGCTCAGTGGTCCAGTAGGTTAAGTGTTTGCGCGCGAGACTGAAGGCCCTGAGATCGAACCATGGGACTCGTCAGCTAATAGGAAATCGCGACGGCGTTTGAAGCGAACGATACTGGGTTCGAGTCCTTGAGTGAATATCAACTCTGGGATGTGGATACATCAATCCGTCGAGTCTCAAATGGGCCGAAACGCTCTCTCAATTCTACTGCTAGCCACTATCCATCTTTGTTTAAAAAGCTTGTGACTTAAGGCTATATCGAGACAATTCGAACAGGATGCATATATGCCAACATGAGATTGATCAACTGCAGTCCTTAATAACAATGGGAAGATACAAGTAAAACAACATCTAGTGGATTTAGGGAAACCAATGCTTTGAATTTTCATGAAAAGATAGATGGGGAAATTATCAATGGGAAAGGATGGCCCAGCATGATAAAATAAAATGTTGAAATTGGAATTAAATGTAATCATGAGAAACATATCTTATCATGTTGAACCATCCTTTCTCAATGATAATTTCCCTATCTTTTGCTGAAAATTTATGCCATTAACAATCAAATGATTATTAGTTTCCCTGATTATAAAAAGATTTTTTCTAAAACCCTTTTTTATTTTATTTTACTGTCACCATGTCTAACAGAAATTTATTATCATTATTATTGTAATTATTATCACCTGGGAAAAAAACATATACATTTACTATTACAGAACTTTGGAAAGAGAACTCTTCACTGAACCTATCTTTTTTGTTGAGCTTCTTTCTTTTACACTCAGTTTATTTTCATTGCTTCGTTTTTAAATCATTTCATGTGTTGCATAATCCTTTATCAAAAATGTAAAGTAATTACTGATAATATAATTATTGTTTGTTTACCTGCAAAATTATTTCTATTCATTGAAGTTAAACGTTTCATTTAGTTATATTTTACTTGGAACAAGAAAACTTAATTGTTAACATTATATGTGAAAATTATATTTGAAATAATCTCAGCGACTGAAATTTGAATAGTTCCAACCTTTCGTCCAGCTAACTTGTCTGGACTTCTTCAAGGCAATAATCAAAATCAATATATAGCTTTTTAACAATCATAAGTATACTATGCTACACCAATCAAATTTGTTGATTGTTAAAAAGTTTTATATTTATTTGATGATTGTGATTTTTATTATTACCTTGAAGAAGTTCAGACAAGTTAGCTGGACGAAACGTTGGAATTATTCAAATTTTAATCGCTGAGATTATTTCAAATATAATTTTCACATATAATGACTTCTCATTACTCGGCGCCTAATTTCCGTCAAACTATTCGTTTTAATCTTGACGAATATTCGTATAAATTAATTGTTAACAGATACAAGACAATGTTAAATAACATAAAAATAATTTTCTCCATACACAGAAACTATGTTATAACAAAGCATTTATAAAGAGTATCAAATTTTGTAGTGCATACCGAGAAATAAATTCAACTAAACCGTTGAACACCTGAGAACATTAAACAGAAAATCTTTAGAAGTGCATATATAATAAATCATCGTTAAGAATTAAATCCGTAACTTTTGGTCTTGTACGAGAACGTTTAATTTCTAAATCAATGATCGAAAAGATAATGATGTAATATTCTAATCTTAACCAATCCGTTGTTAATATAAACAATGTAATTCACTAACTATATATACATATGTAACATGAATAACTACTAATGAATTAAAATATTTGTTCATCTATGATGTATTTAACGTTTTAATGAACACAGAAATATTTAGTGTTAAACTAGTCATCATTCCAAAGACGAGAAAGTAATCGAAACATGACAGAGTTACCTATGATTATTCTTTAAAAACTAATCTATAACAAGACTTTACTATATTCGATACAATATAAATAAACGCTTGGAGTAAGTAAATTTTATTTATAAAAGAAACAAACAAAAAACACACTGCTGAACTAAGACGAAACGACGGTCCAGTGCTTCCAGATTTTCCATGGTGGTCTAACTTTAATTGACTCATGAATTTAACTATTAAATTTTCAACAACAAAAAACTAGTGAAAAAATGTGGTTTTATTTTTTTTGTAAAGTAAGTAATTAAAAGATTTATTGACATTTATTGATAATTATCTTGATATAGGCAATTAGTAATAACTAATGTCAATAGAAAAGAATAAAATCTTGGCAAAAGAACAAATATAACTATGAAATGTGGTGAAATGATTGAAAACATCTGGTATAGCAAAGGATTTGTTTCATGATGGATAAATGATATAATTTGTTATAGAAGTAATATAGAACAAGAACTAATGTAAGTATCAAAGACCAGATGGATAATTAAATAAAAATATTTCAGCGCCTAATGAACAAGATGGAAATAGATCATTGTATATTAAGGGTTTGTACTTTAAGATAAGTCAATTCATTATAGATCGTATACTGATCGTATGACCTTCCAATTTAAGTAGGAAAACGTTTTTTTGGGGGATTGTTTTATTGGATTTCTATTAAGTGAACATATGATACTTGATTGAAGATCCAAAAGTCTTAAATTTGAAATACTGTGGGTTCATGAATCTGCACTGTTAAAAGATATGAGACTAAGTTATAACTGGTTAGCATTTAATAATTTTCACTTGGTATTTTACCTGAGTAATGATAGTAATGATAGTCCTGAAACTCATCTATTCATAACATCAAAGCGTTACATTTTGTTGCTGACCACCTTTTTTTCTAGTTCGATATATCAAAATAATAAGTTATTAAAATTGTTAAGAAAATAAAAAAGACGTTCAAACTTTTTGAAATTCATATTCACTAAAGTATAGTTAACATTACGTTTGTTCATTAACGAAATTGATGTATTTCAGTTTGTTTTACGCATATTCTTGTATAAATAGTTTATTAGCATAATTATTATTCTACCTATTGTTTAATGAATATTTTCAAGATACTAGAAACTCGATGTTGATTTACAAATGAAGCAATATGACATCAGATTATTAATGATTTAGAGAAATCATTTGATGAGGAGTCCCACAATAGAACGAAACGGCCGTCCAGTGCTTCCAGGTTTACAAAGGTGGTTTAACATCAATCGGTTCATGATCTCAATCAAGAAATCATCTGAAACCTGTTACATACATAAATTTATGCTATTTTTAATATTTGAAATTTAGTTAAAACTGGAAGAAAAAAAAGAAATATCTAGAACTATGAGAAGTATTCATTCGATCATAATTTATAAAAGGAACTAATTGCTTTGTTTGGTCATTTATTTGTATGTTTATGTATATGGAAGAAGAAACTATTAGACTATTCTAACTGTTCAAAAGTGATATTAATATAGATGTAGACTGACACCTCACAAATTAGTATACGTTTACGGATTTATTTATGTATAAGTATTTCGTTTGTAAATTAGTAATGATGTTAAAAATGAATTATTATACATATTCTCTATTTAAATATTACACAACATCATACGGACATTTAAATGTAGGTCAATTCGGTCTAATAAAGAAATCTGGAAGATTTTATCAGTGAACCAAATAAATTAATACTGGTAATTCAGATGCTTGAAAAGTGAAGGTATAAAATCGACGGGAATTTTGATTTGAGTAAGTACCTTTGGATAAATAAAATACCAAAACTAAATCGTTTGACTGAATGATATTTTGAATTCATTTTATTTCGTAGGTTCTCGTCAGCTGCTTACAACCTGTGATATTTAAAAATCATAATTACATAATGGGTTTAAATTGCTTACATGAGAGGGTCTGTTTGGAAGTTATAATGAAGATATATTCGTAAAGTATATCATGGGTGTAAATGAAATTAT